TTTGGTACGTGGTACCACTGTACTGCAAAATCGCTACGTGTAACATGTTAATTTGCTGGCGCTAGAAATATCCTAAATCGCCGTATGTCGGATCTGAGTTTCAAAGTTGTGCAGTTTCCCTGACCAAGAGCTCCTGGGGATCTAGCGTATTATGATATCGCAAAGGCCATTCCGGTTGGTCCGGTTGGTCTGGCTGGTGTGGTTGCAGTAATAGTCGCGATTGTCGCGATTATCGCAATTGTCGGCATTGCTGACAATGAACAGGCCGTCCTGACGTGGGCTCTTACGATATGTACTGTCCGCTGGAGCTCCATCGATGGTCGTTGAAACCCGTGGAGTCAGAAGGGAGACAGCCGGAATCGCGACGGAGGTGATTCTCAGTGATTCCCATCCTAATTCTTACCCTAACAACCAATCGATCTGGATCCCTAGCACACTATCTTTCTTTTCCACAGTTAATCTAACACATACGAGCATAGGGTGTGGAAAACAGGGCTTCCCGTCCGCTCAGCCGTACTTGAGCCACACCGGTGAGTTAATAGTTGGGTGGATGACCACCAGCGAATCCTCACTGTTGTATGTGCTACGATACTGGAGAACTACTAGTGAATGCTGGCATGGGAAAATCGGGAAGAAGAGAGGTGATAGTGAATCTATGGGAGGAAGGCTGTATATGAAGCCTGTACTAACAAAGAAATGGCAAACTAGCAAAGGCTCAGTCTACACAAAGAGACAAAGACACCCCATGCATGTCAACAGAATGTTTTTACGTTTTAGTTCCTTTTTTGCGTCTCACCAGCGGCATTCTAGGATGAGTGCGATATAGCTGTGAATTCTGGAGACCGAGGTGGCAGAGGCGAGACAGGGCGAGGATAAGGGATTTCTACTATGATTCGTACCAGTCAGACCCTCTCCTATAATGGCAGGTACCTAGGTAGTCAGTTACTGCCGCATTTGAGCACCTGCCTGATTAGTGATGGAGCCTTCCTCACCTTTTACTTTGTTTACCTTCTTCCTCTTCCTTTCTTCTTCCTTCCGCCACACTTCATGATCTCGATTGAGCCCCCAACAACATACCTGTCTCGTGCTGTCTCGTAATGTCTCGTGCTTCCTCTGATCTCCCTCAGAACCAGCCCATGACGGGCGGTTCATCGAAACACCCACCAAAAGACCCAACCTACCTATCTCGTGTTTCCTCTGATCTCTCTCAGAGCCAGCCCATGACGGGCGGTTCATCGAAACACCCACTAACAGACCCAACCTACGTGCCTCGGGTTTCCTCTGATCTCCCTCAGAACCAGTCCATGACGGGCGGTTCATTGAAACACCCACCAACAGACCCGACATCCACGCCCAGTATTGATCAGTCCACTGGTCGCAAGCGTCGTCCGTCGTCCCATGCTCTGCGACCGCCCAAGCCCAGGGAGGATGAGATGGAGTTGGGAGTACCTGCCAAACCCTATGAATGGGAGAGAGAAGCAGCCAGGGGAGCAATTACTAAGCCGATCCCCAGCAAACCGCATGGTCGTAGCCTGCCCCTTTGGGAGCAACCGCTGAAAGTTCCATTACGAGAGCTGTCGGGCTGGAATTCGGCTTCGAAAATCGGGAGCCAGTACGGCCATTTCCTCACCACCAGGATCCTCTGGAAGCATTCCCAGGTTGAAGACCTGGCATACATGAATACTGCGGTCTGCGAGGCTCTGGACCTCCCTAATTGGGCAAAAGCGACGGCTCAGGAGTATCTCTCCGGTTATGGAGATTGGAGTCGGTATATCGATCACATCGCCAAATACCCGATCGCAAAGCCTGAAAACCCCATTCTCATTGGAGCATTCTCGAGTATTCGAGATCAGCAGTTGCGAATAGAAGGAGCTTGTGTTGAGTTGCTTGGAGACAGACCACCCTCCCCGATTGCCAAAAAGGGCAGAAGACTCACCAACATGTCTTCCCCCGGCCAGCTCATGACGAGCGGCACTCCAAACGCCTCCCCCAGCCAGCGCATGACGAGCGGCACTACAACCCCCTTTACCGCGGAAAACCTGGAGCGGATCACAAGGAGGTTGCAAAACCTGACTCTAGAGAGTAGGGAAACGGACAACACTGGAGGTTTCACGGCGCTGGTGACTTCCATTGGAGTAAAGCAGCCGTTTGGCAATTCCGAAGCCAAGAGGCGAACGCATGAAGCGAAAATCAACATGAGCTTCGTCAATTTGCTTTACACAATCTGCTTATTACTGCCGACCGAGTTAAAGTGGGACAGTATCCAGCATCATCTCAACTTACATGTCGGTGAGGCTGCATACACAGCAATTGTCGACGGTGGTCTCGTAGATCCCGATGGGAAAATGCAGGTCTTACTTGAAGTCAAGGCTATGCATCTGTCAGCGAGTTCGGTAAAGGAAGTCCTGATGCAACAGGGACTTGAAATGCTGGCGTGGATCACTACCACGCTCGGTATTCAAGGATCAAAGGGACCAAGAGTTCAAGTACTCGATTCACCCATCAGAAGGTAGGGTTGATCATGATCACTATACCAATGCCCAAGAACATCGCTAATCAGTTGTCTATAGATGGGTGATGTTAGCGCAATACGCGACGCAGATATACTTCGTTGTCGCTGAGCTGCATGAAGAGTATATCGAGTACTTGCTTAAAGGCACGCGCTCCAGGAATCCCTTCGATAGTAACGCATATCTAACAATGCGGCTACTGGGACCTTTCAGCATTTATTCCGCTGAAGAGATGCGGGCCTTTGGTTTTCTTGTTGTCACGCTTACCATTGTCCAGCACCGGGATTGGAAGAAGAGTAAGGAGGATTAGATAGGAAATGAAAGATATATTCTTCCTAACATAGACTCCTGGACCATGAAATCAAAGATACATATTCCCCTAATTTGTGTGAGTAAACCATTGGCTAGCATGCGTGCTTCCGCGGTCCCGGCAAGAAATGCATCGACTCCTGGAGACTCCCGCATATGACGTTATCTGCGTGCAAGTGTTTGAGAACGGAATAGTAGAAGCCGGGCAAGATGTTGTAGCGAGAGCGAGAAAGGGAACTGAAAAGCGAAGGCGCAGTAGGCTCTGTGGATCAAGCTGGCGAAGCTCAACGCGATGTGCTTCGTCGGCTAGAAGACTAGAACAGTTGAAGCTCACGAAAGTAGTTGCGGTGTGCTCGACATATAAACACTGCGCGTAAGATAGAGAGCAATATGACCGAGTGAAGAGCTGCTTTCACGTTCACTGTGAGAGATACGGTGCTGACCGCGAGTTGTGCTGCGATGCATAGAAGATGATTTGCGGCGATAAGGCAGTCACAAAACCCACAACCCCGAGACTGTAAGCCCTGTGGAGCCTCGGGGAGTACACAGTATGAATATGTAGGTCATTGGTAGAGCTATAGAGCTGCCGGTATTGTAAGTACGAAGGACGAAGATCTAATCAAGATTGTTGTACGCGTGACGAGTGTCGGATACGTTGTTGATGTACGACTTAAGAGCGTCGTCGATAATGGCGACGAGCGACAGAAGAAGAAGAATATTAGATTATTATTCCACTTGCTGGTCGAGCTAATATCCACCATGGTGAGACTTTTGGGAACCTTAGCGGAAGGCTTCGCATGAGAGCCGGCAAGCAGATCGAAGAGTTGAGTCCCGCGAGTGTTGAGGGCCTACTTGAGGCTGGTTGACATCGAGTGAAAGTTATCCGCGCCAGCTAGCGCAGGAACGAAAGCAGAGATCGAGGGCTCTTTGAAACTGGAGGACGATGACATTGTAGTGGATATAAAAGAAAAGAAAAAGGCTGACATGGGGTCAACAATGCGAAGAGCACTAAAGTGTGTATCACAGCACGGAAAAGTAGGATTGTATGCGAGGAGCACTCAGGTTGGCTTGGCCAGTAAATGTCCAAATGTCCGACGAAGAGAAGCGGTGAATGAAGATCTCAAACAGCCGATATCGTCGAAGGGTTCGTTTTGTCAAGGGCTGGAAATCGGCGGTATGGACGTTAATGGCTTTTGGAGTTCCGGTTGAGCTCGGACTGACTTGTGGTGCTTTGGGGGTCGCAGATGCACCGGAAGTCACTGACGAACGACCGCGCCACGGTTCTAGTACTATTGGGCTCTTCTTGGGACACTAGAAGTGATATTCAATTCCTCTTTCTGCCCAGCATTATCATGGGAGACAGTGGCAACCCATGACCCTTATCTCAGGGACAAAATTGACGGCCTAGCTAAGTCAACGCCTTGGTGACGCATGAGCCACCAAGGAGATCATTAAGTCTTTCAAGACGTGACCACGGCACACCTCCGCTCAGGCGGCTAGTTATTATCACGGGACAAACTGGCGGTTATCCAACTTCCGCAAAGAAATCACAAACTTATATATCAACCCGAGAAACTAGTCCGTGGATCTCGCCCACCATCCACCTAGGCAGTTCATAGGCAATTTATCCTCGACACCACTGTATCTTTCTCAGCTACATCACCGACTTTGTTCAATGCAATTACTGGTACTAAGGTGGCAGGTATAATATGTTAGCCATCAAGAAAGAAGGATTCTTAACAGCGTGTTCATTTTCTTAGAGTGATCGAGTAATCGTGTATGGATAAGTACAGGTGCAAGAAGATACCGACGATGCATGGGAAAAGAAGGACAAATGCACAAAAGTAAGACTCGTAAACTCTTAGGGAATAGTATACAAGCGGCACCGGGGCTGGACACAGCAGCTCCGACACCTCCAGGACTTTTAAGGTGGATTTGGTAATCACTCAACGCAGCAACGCAGCAATCTACGATACATCTGTTCGTTCCGGGCCAAAACGTCATCAATACCAATTGAACTTTTCAGAAAGGATCGGTCGGGAAAACGTGATTGGATAGCCGAATTTCACATAACCTATTTAGAAGGCGGCAAACATCCATTACTATGTCCATCGTTACATATATCTTCTTACACTCCTCTCTACTCTACTTCTCTTGCACTCCAAGATCTAGTTTCAAACAATGGAACGGATCTGCAACACCCTTCGCGAGAATAGGAAGCTTCCTATGACAGACGAGCAGCTTTCAGACCTCGGAGTCGATTTTCATCAGTTTGATATCCGCACTGGTACAATTTCTTCGCCATCGGTTACAAGCCACTTCCTACCTCGGGTTGATTTTCGAGATGTTCTCGATTCAGATCTAGCAGCTTCACCCTTCCTAGAGGTTGCAAGCTGGTCTGAAGTGCCAGGTCCTCGCTGCTACCCATGGAATCTTGAGTCAATCAAGATGGCTATGTTTCCAGATATGATGGCCGAACAATATAACTATTTTACCTTTATAGGGAGTGGTTACTCATTCAAGGAATTTCACCGTGACGGGTTTGTATACGTCCTAACCTTCATAAACTTATTACTAATAGTCTTCTAGGATCCCTAATGGCGGATGGGTAGTAGACCGGTTAGTAGATAAAGTATCTTATCTCTCTCAAATACTAACTTATACTCCAGTGATACGCATTCACTATTATCAGGCCGCCGAGAGTTTCTCGACTTTGAATGTACAAATACCGAGAAGCTGGAGTTTCCTCTAGATTCACTGAGCTGCCATAAGCACAAGGGCCACCAGCGCTCAATAGTCGGGTTCTGCAACCAGGAGAAATGTGGTGATAAACGGCCTTCCTCGATGGAGCTCTTTGCGATCGCCGTATTAACCCACAAAGAAATGACCAACGTTGATCGGCAAAGGTCGTATAAGAATCGGTGGGATGAGAGTCGGTCGAATGAGGATCGGTCGGACGAGTGCTACTTTACTTTCCCGGTTTGTCTTTCCTTCTTAGGTATCGTTAGGCTTTTACTAATATATCATTAGCATTTAGTATTTCTGATGGACAAATTTGGCGGATGCCGTATGTTCCAGTCCTATTTTGATGGCAAGCTTCATGTTCAATTCTCGGAGCTCCTAGATCTAGGACATATGATTGCCGTGCCTGCTTACGGGGAAAAGTACTTTGATATGGTTGACAGAAAAGACTTTCTGGAGAAGTTGAACTTGCTTCTAAAATGGGCATGGCCTTTTCCACAAGGAAACACCGTTGCAAATGTTCCAAGGATTTGTGGCAATTGATTTTCTGGATATTTGCTCTCACGATTCCTTCTTTCGGATCCCTCGCTACCCTCGCACATCTTCCATACCATTGTATAATCCCTTATCTGGCTCCACTAGAGACATCATGCAACCAGACAGGTTTTGCCTTTACCTCCGATGGAATTGATGAAACTCTATCTTAACCTCTTCGGCTCCAGGTAACATTATAAATGGTAGAATGTTGTGAATAGAATAAGTATTCAGAGAAGACAAAGGAAGTGAACAGCATCCAAGATGCTATTCACCACCTATTCAGGCATTCTCTCACTTCTCATTCATGACAGGGGATTTTATTCACACCCTATTAGTGGCTGATCTCTATTGAGTTACCTCTCACTTCTCATTTTTAATATTATATTCACTCCCTATGAGAGACTGACCTCTATTAAGTTACCTCTCACTTCTCATTCATGACTTTGTATTCACTCCCCATTGTTCGCAGCCTGCCATTCATCGTTGACAACTTTGGGTGCCTTGGACTCAGTCTATAAAAGCCCCACTCCCACCATCCTTCCTCTCTTCTTCTTCTTCTTCTTCATCAACTCTTCAACTCAACTGACACACCTTGTATGTACATACTCATTCCTTCTTGTCTACCCTGGACTCATGGACACTTCAACTCTTGTGACTCACTTGTCTCCCTGCCTTCGGTGAAGCTGCCCAACGACAGCTGCAGTGGAGCGCATCTCAAGGACCACGGCTTCATTCCAGACCATCTCACCCCATATCAATTCCACATTCTCACAACGAGAGTCTGGATCCAGCTCTGACACGTTTCGTCTAGGTTTCAGCTCTTGTCACCTGAGCATCGCAATCCACTCCTCCACCCTCCGTGATCTGCAGTCGTCCGTGAAGGACGACTCTCAACAAACCTCAACACCTCCCATCCTATTTCAATTTCCGTCCAAATAACTCACGATCCAATCTATTCAACGCAGCTTAAGGGAGCTTGCTTTCATGATGACCACCACATACAACTTTTCTAACAAACTGGAGGGAGATAAGGGTTGGTATGATGGCTTCGAGCCACATAAAGTGGACTTATCTTCCCTCAAACGGAAGAGTATGTTACAGCTTCGAGCTCGTGCCTGGACACTTCACCAGTACCAGACTTTCTCCCAGGATGTTGTCTGTGGACTCATGTTCTGGTGTGCTGGCAGGGAGAAGCCCACCCACATTCATTCTCGTCCCGATGCGCAACTGAACTTTTTTATCTCTGGTGGTGTGGAGATTCCCCATTTGGGACTCAATTTGCGTCTGAGATACAAAGACGATCCGACATCGAAAAAAGATCAGTATCTGAAACTTGCCATCATATGGACCGTGTGGGACGGAAGTGACCTGCATCAGAGAGAGATAACAACCACTCCGGAACGGGCAAGCGGCCCCGGAACAGAGGACCATACCTTCTCCGCCAGACTGCGTCAAGTTAGTCTCACACCAATAAGCCTCACGGAAGCGCAGGCCAGCTCTTGCCAAGGAAATGCCGGCGCAGATGGATACCAGGCTCGCTGGGCATCCAAGGTTGTCCCCTACGTCTATGGGTTTGATGTAGCCAAGTCATCACTGGAATGGTTCAATGAGGCACAGAAGAAATCCATCGAACTCTTCATCAACGCTGCATACGGGGATCGTTTCAAGCTATACACGCGGGTCCGCGCTGCTGCTCTTTGTGAAAACTGGAACACCCTTAAGTCTATGCCGAGGCTAACCTACCCGCCGTTTCCACTCTATGATTGCCGTTGGCACATCCAGGCGAAGAGATTTGAGAGAATGGAAGAAATCCCTGACATTGATGACCTCCGTGTCCAAATTCACCATCGAAGACGAGAGCGACAGTGGTCTCACATTACCGCAAAGGGCCATTGCTTCACCGATAAGTTTGAAATACCTGGCCTTGACGCGGATAAACACATCACCTTTATCAATGAACGCGAGTATCAGGCAATCAGATCTATTGGGCTGTTACGGGAGGTTGCTGCAAATGAGCGTCGATATGATCACCAATTCAATCGCGATTACACTTTCGACATGATTCCAGCCTCTGAGGTTGAAAGCACAGCGACTTCATCATCGACTGAAACATACTACGTCGCATTTGAAATCCAGCTCCAACAAGGAGACAGTGACGCGGAGCAAACCCTGCAACTCCCAGATGTGGGAACGCCGGTGAGAGTCACACCGAAGGGACGCGACACAAAGCAAAGCAACAAGCCGATTTGGCCCTGGCCGAAGCCGAAACTCGCAAAGTCATCTGGAGCCCAGCCGTCGGCCAGTGGAGAACGAACTTCGGTTGTCGGTATGAGCCGCAAGCCTCAGCAATCTTATTCATCCGGTGGTTCATCCAGCCAACACACTGCTGTCGCTCGACAGGACCAGTCCTCGCTCGGTAAATCCCATTTTGGAAAAGCATCCACAGCCCCAATTTGGCACGGCTATGTCGTTTCCTCGTCCCTGGCAGACATAAAATCGCTCGGTGCGCCAACCAATCTTGTGTTTGCCAAGATCCACAAGCCTCACGATGAAATGTCTCGAGGTCGCGTTTTGAACATGACGGCCCGTGTTACCTTTGGACAGCCAAATGTCCCGCGAGTGGCAGCCAGGAAAGCAATTCAGAATGTCATGTGGGGCAATGAAGGCCTTGGTATCCCAACGTCTAGCAAGATGAAGGTCTTGCTTTTGGCGCATGAAAACCACGTCATGAAGTTCTTGCCGCCAGATAATGAAAACCTTGATGATACAAGAATTCCCAGCTTTCTCAGTTGGCTGAAGGATAGTCGAAATCCATTGCAAAAGAGAGCAATTCGAGAGGCTCTTTCTCCCCATGGAGGCTTCATGAAACTGATCACGGGGCCGCCAGGAACAGGCAAAACGGCTGTCTCCACAGCCATCATCAGGTATTGCTACGTTACCGAGACACCAATCCTAGTGATCTGTGGACAGAACCAAGGTCTCGATGTAGTAGCACAACGTTATTCGTCTCTTTACGAAAATGACAATGCCGATATCTCCCAAGTCTATCGATTGGGAACAGAGTTCGCTGAATCGGTTGATATGCATTTCAAAGAGGATCAGGAGCTCACAACGCATCGGGTGTCTGGTCTGCGTGAAAATTTCAAACGAGCTGTTCATGAATTGAGCCGAGCAGACATCGCTGAAAGAATCGTTGGCAGTCTTGAAGCCTCCCTCACCGGTATGGGTGTAAACCTGCAGCACCTCTCCTTGGGCAGGTTCATCATGTCCCGCGTTAAGAATGAAATTCGTTTGCAGGGTTCGCCAGGGAGGGAAACAAATCAAGAGTCAGAACTGCTCATGGAATTTGCTTGCTGGCAACAAGTCATACGGATGATGGAGAAGCTGCAGGTGGAGCCAATCGATCGAACAAGCACGAGCGCCCACATATTCTCCGCTGAACAACGAGAGCTGCAAGCCGGCTTCCAAAAGCTGTGGGGAAAGCTCCAGAAGTTCTATCTTAAGAAGGCCCGTGTTGTCTTCTGTACCGCGGACACCGCGGGGCGACATATCCTTCGTGGGTTTCGCCCTCGCTTTGTTTTGATTGAGGAGGCTTCGCATATTTCAGAGACAACTTGCTTGGTCCCAATTATGGCTAACTACATAGGCCTGAAGAGGGTCATTCTGAGTGGAGACACAGCGCAGCTACCACCGACTGTGATCTCCAGGGATGAAAACGAGTGCGGCCAGATCGAACAAGTCTCGCTTTTCGAGAGAATGATTCTCTCAGGACATCCCGACATACAACTGCAAACTCAGTACCGTATGATGGCTGGAATTTGCAAGTTCGTTAGCACGGAATTCTACAATGGTACTCTAGAGACCGTGGAGTCAGCTCCGAATAGAGCGACGTCAAAAACCCTCTCAAATTTCATGTCTACTCGATACAAGTGCTCGCCAGGTTCCTCGTTTTTCCTCTCTCTATCTGGCACAACAGTCGTCCGACGTCAGGGAGGAACCTCGATCCTAAATCCCGAGTATGTGAGTCATATTGCCGACCTCGTTGATGCTCTAGCCAAGAAGGTGCCCAATCTCCCGCAGGAGGACATTCTGGTGCTCTCGTATTACAACGAGGAGCGCCGGGTCCTATCTGAGCTACTTCGAAAGCTCGGCCACTCAAAGGTCCGTGTTAAAAGCGTGGACTCCTCACAGGGCTCCGAAAGTCCTGTAGTGATACTTTCAACTACTCGGCCAGGTGGGCAATGGGGTCTGGGGTTCATCACAGATCGGAAGAGAAGCTGTGTCGCATTGAGTCGTGCTCAAAGCTGTCTCATTGTCGTCGGATTTGAGAAGATGGGAATGGCCACGCAAGTTGGCTCAGGTCAGGGATTCCAGGTCTGGGAGCGCCTTGTCAAGCAACACGAGCAGACTTCTACTTTGTGTCGCGTGAAGGGCAGTTCAGCCCTTCTCAAGCAGCAGCTCGGGATCTCCGAAGGAAGTTCTGGATATGAGCGTGCTCTTCGTTGAAAACCGGGCGAGTCGTGGTGGCGCGATGGAAGGGTTAGCAGATTGGCTCGTTAGGTGAAAATGGATGAGGATGCATTTCGTTTTTTTTTTTCAATGTTCAGACAGCTTTTATTCTTAGTCACAGCTGGAGATGAATTATTCGCCAGTTTTTATCCATTCATATGCTCTATGTAGTCTGGCCCGTTTCAATCTTGAAGCTTCTCTATTTTTACGTTACGACACCAAGGAACGTTCTGAACGGCGAGCGGCAAACATAGAGCTGTATGGACCTTTTCTCCCCTCTATATTATATCTCCAAATCCACATTGCATTCGGTTGCAAATCAACAAGCGCCGGGAATACATTTTCATAATCAAAAGGTGCGAACATACTTCCGTAGTACTTGAACCCTGATAGAAACATTGATTACGAGTCTGGGTATATGCGATACAATTTCAACTTGATCTCGAGTATGTCAGTTGTCAGTTGCTTGGTAACCAAAACTATCAAACGGTCAGAAAATATGCTCCTGCAGGCGCGTGTAAAGAGCATCGACTCTAGGGATCTCACTGAAAGAGTGAAGAAGAACGTAATCGACATCATTAGTCGAAGACATTATTCGTTCTTGGTGCCAGAAGCTCATTTTGTACAGTGGCTATATTTGTTTGATTGTCAATGCAAGCCCGACAGCGTGGACCTGGGGACCTCAAGTATCAGAAGGATGACAGTGACAATGACAACAAATTGAGTGTATTTTATCATGCATATAATCCATAAAAGTGGTTTCCCACGAATTACGTGCTACACCCGCAATTTCTCCGGCTGGAATAACGTTCGTTTAGCGAAGATCTTGTTACAAGGAGCCAAAAAAAATCACAAGAACATACTCCGTACGAGCGAAGGACTTGGCGATGCTCTGGCAGATGCTATTGATGCATTGAAGGAAGGAAATGCGCCCAGGTTTCACTTCTATAAGAGGGCCGCCATATGGGGAGAGTCTGCTAAGATTTATCTCCGGAGCTGATTCCGTCCATGAAGCGAGATCGTCATGTTCATTGCAAGGATCTTACATCATCGATATAGAAAGAGAGGGTTTTGCAGGAGAGAAAAGAGAAAACAGAAAAAGAAAATGTATTTTATCCATGTATAGTAATAATACCTATAATCCTTTTTTATATGTAGCCTGATACATACGACCATAGGGTATGGAAAATAGGGCTTCCCGTCCGCTCAGCCGTACTCAAGCCGCTCCAAAGTTGATGAGCTCTGTGCCGCTGGGGGCTACGGCCCCCTGTTCGTTCAAACATACCGTCTCTCCACGCTGAGTAATGTCGCGCCATAATTTAGTTTAAGCCTACACTCACTCTGCCTAAGTGACGTGAAGCCCCAGGCTGATTATTACACTATACGGAAACGCCACGATTCTACCCCGCAAATTCACGCATAATCGTGGTCTTTCCGTTGTGACCTTGACTTACACCATATCGGATGGCTGAAATTATTTCCTCAAATTACGTTATTAGGTCTAGCGCTGGGCTTTTCGGTCTAGCTTTATATGACCCTATACGTCGCCGTGCGATGAAATCCTCCCTATCGCCCCTTCAACTTTCTAGCTCTCATGGGTGAACTTGGCCTTGGTATTCGACATATCACTTGTGCCGTCGTGGTCCCACGAATTAGCTCGCGTGCATTTTATCCCTGTACAAAAGGTCGCGAACTGATAAGTGCATTGTTAGTAACTATCTAATGGATCCTATGAAATTGACAACATACGATGCTTTTCCTATGAACCCCTGTGCTAAGCCCTGCGGTGCTCCGGTGTAATGTCCGAGAGCTAAGCTACTTGCTGTAGATAGCCAACAGAGGCCAAAGCGACGCATTCTGCCCTGTTATTGGAAATAACGAGTCATGCAGGAGGGTGTACCTAGCCCATCGCTTTGGAAAGACTTGCTTCATTAGTCTCCGAACAGCGCATTAGGGCGCTAAACTCAAAGAGACAAAACTAACCCGAATAGGTAATTCATACGCCGTTTACTATGCACTTCTAATAGATTTAGAGGTGAAAGCTATGCGATTTAAGCCCTTCATATTAATTTATCTTTCTATAATTGAATGATGTGGTCAAGATACATACATGTACATGGAAGTGCAACTCTTATGTGGCTGGTTAACAAAGTATTTTTGGAAATGAGAAAATCACAACTGGGAGGTATGAGAAGCTATATCTAAATCTAAACCTAAATTACATCCCTACGTCTATATACTACTTCCCAGATGCTAACCACCTTCATCAACGTCTATACATCTCAAGGTGGGCATCGGTCGGTAATGGCTATTATAACGACTGCTATTACTGGAGCAACTCTTCTGATCTATTCAGCACTTCTTACGGTTTACTAATTTCATGAGAGTAGATCAGCAAAGAAGATAGAGGCATTCGGCATTTTCAGCATCTATCACACGCAAAGATACTCCCAGTTAAGTTGACGGAGCCCACTATATTTGCGCCTCTTCGCAAGATTAAGCATTAGGCCCCTCGCTCTCTTCTGGCAACGCATTCTCAATGAATCCATTGGATTCTTTCCATGCTTGCAAGGCTGCTAGTTCCTCCTCTGGAATCACTACATCCTTGTTCAAATGCTGCTGCAGGTCTTGAATTACACCCCCAATCTCGAAATCCGACTTCTCGGTCGAACAAACAACGGTCACCGAGTATAAGGTTGCGTTCATACTGGTAATGCTGTAAACGTTTCCTCTCACATGATCGGCAATGCCGACGAACACATCGTCGATTGAAGCGGCGAACGTAGCTCCGATACCTCGAAACGTGGAATTCCCATGCATGTTGAGCCATATAACGTGCACAAAAGGAGGACCAAGAAATGTATCTGTCCGGGTGTTTTGCCGGATTTCACCCGTTCTGGGATCCTGATATCTCCCATCCACGATAGGGACTTTATGTTCGGGGTGCCAGGGGGTCTGATATCTCATAATGGACGATAGCTCGACGGCTGTAAATATTGACGTAGCGAGATACTTGAAAGACGTGTGTGGCTGGAATGGGATATCCGGGATGTAATGTTTTGTGGAACTGGATATCACCAAAGGGAAACGAAGAGGACCTTTGTTTTAAAGGTGGAAATGTGATTGCCGCCCGAGCTCGAAGTCCTTTGTATTGTTATCTCTGTAGGTGTGTAAACAGTCCACTTATCATTGACACAGAGCAAGGATTAAAATGAGATTTCTCGACTCTGCGCTAGCGCCCCTAAAATGCAATGCTACCATATGCGCCTCGGCCGTGAGTTGCCGCATATTTGACTACTCAAAGTACTGTTACATTCAACCTAGCCTTACGGGGGCACCTTTGTCCCTAAAGAAAAAGCTTCACGTGGACGGGCTTTTTAGGTAGCAATATACTTGGTATGCGGGATTTTAATGGTCAGCTGTGCTAAAGAAATTTGGCTTGGTTGTTTTTTTAAAAAAAGGCATACTGGACAAGACATTGCACCGATCCGCGATAGGCTGTATCTGTCGGGGTGCTGTGGACGATTGGATTTATCGTCTGAACTGTTCGACCCCGGCCAATGCCTTCTTTTGCGGCATTATGGCGCCTACTGCAGAATATTTTCATTTGTCTCCTTAGGGGGGAATGTGACTATACTAGATAAGATGAAAAGGAAGGTACAAATTTTCCTAAATCACTAAAACTGGTGTCGCCCTCATTGCTGACCCGCTCTAGTCCTCTAGTACGTCCTTACTCTCCTGTAACTTCCTACACTTATAGAGCTGAGCCGTAGAGCAAACTGAGCTATAGGGAGGTATCGAGATTTTGCTAGCTTTAAGGAGGAATTGAAGATAAGAACCGTGTGTCTTCTAGAACATAATATAAAGAATTCCCCAAAAGACCACCTCCTCGCTCGAAACCCGCATGGGAAACCTCGGTGTTCGAAATTACAGCATTATATTCTAGGGAATGTCAAAAAGTGATACGGGATCTCGAATACTGGTGTTATAAGGCAGTGGGCGGCCAAGGACCTCGGAACCCATAGTCTCTACTGTTATTTTAGGACACGAATCACATATCTAGATCTTGATATATTAAAAACAAAGAATCTTTTGTATGTGGATCCTATAGAAAGGGTATACACAAATCAAAATATTTTCATTAGACCGATTCAGCTCCAACCCCCGAGAGTCGTGTACGTTGAGCCGAGTCACTGTTTTCTACCAACGCGTCTATCGAGGGATTATAACTCTAGAACCCTCACTCTCTTCTCTTTTAACGCGGAAATAACGCCCAAACCACCTCTCCTACCAACAGCCTGCTCTATCTCAGCCTGCACCAAGGCCATGCAAAGGGCCTGCCCCCCCTGCCTCACTGAAAAGCCCACCCCTCCGCCCCTGCCCAAATCTTCCACCCATTGGGGTCCCACACATCTCCTCGAAATTCGAAACCCGGAGAGAGTCAGGTAGTCCGAGAAGAGCCTGAATGGGCATGATCTGGTTGTTGAACAACACCAGCAATAGATAAGCTGGGAGATGCCGGGCGGGTGGGACAGGTAGCCCGCCGAGGGAGAGCACTGCACGTCCAGGGTGGCGAAGTCGAATGTATCGTGCGCGTCCAGGTCCAGTGGACCTAATGAAGCATAATTATTATGCCGAGGAGATCCTCCCACGCTGCTCATACTTGCAGCAGCAGCAGCCTTTGTGGGCCTTGCGCTGCCCTCTCTTGTCCGGCCCTGTTCTCTTTCTTCAAATGCAAGGCTACGCCAGAAATACGAACAACTAGAACCAATTACGCATAGACTATTTTAACCCGAAATTTTATCTATAGCTTAATGTGCGATACTATATCCTGTGCAGATAACCCTTCTTATTTAGTATAACGATATAAGAGGCCGGATATAATGATAATCCTTTTATCTATTACGGGGATATTACTTTTAGAAATCAGCTGCTAAAGGATACTCCAATCTGGGATAATCTTACGGCAGAAAAGGATATTGTGAAAGACCTATTAAGTAGGATTCCTCTGAATAAATTCGAGAGTAAGAAGAGAGTCTGCGATATAATATCTAGTTAGTCTAGTGTAAATCAAGTATGATACTAAGAACGATACTGATATAAGGATTATAGGTCTCTAATATGTTACAGAGGATTACAGAAGGATTGCCTAATAGTAGCTTAAGATATAGGAAAACGCAGTTAAGTATATATTCTCTAATAAAGAAAGAGAATACCCTTATCTATTTCGTCTTACTTTAAGTACTTTGGATACTATATATAAGTGGTATCAGAAGACATTTATATCATATGACATTATCAAAATGGTTCAAGTTAAAGATCGCCAATTTTCTCAATACTAGCCAGGGCTGTATCATAGACGTCTCCTTCAACATGGGCTATAATTGCTGTTCCTTGTAGAGAAAAGGTGGATATGAACGTACCTGCCTCCCCGGAGTAAACGAATGGCTCACCACTAAGAAGCGAGGTAGACTTTTCCCCAATAATCTTGTCTTCAGAGGAGTTTTCGACAACAGAATATTCAGCTGAAATTTCAGCTGACTGAGGGTTAATTTCACCCTTAATCTACGAAGAATTAGCAAAGATACATGTCGCATCCGCCGAGGAAGGAATTACTTTGAGAGGACCATAAGCCCAACTATAACCTAAATATTGTTTAATAGGGCTAGAGCATAGGGTTATTGTAAGGACTTACTCTGACCTGACATTATAAAGCACGATTTAGTATACGATGATTCTCGGAAGGGGAGGAAATTTTGAGGGGAAACCAAAAAATGGTTAGTGGACAATTTTAGTTCGGTGCCTTCGATGGCTATATGCCATCGACTTAGGTATTTAACAATGTAATTTTTTACATTATGATGACGCATTTAGGTCTAATAACGGCAGACGAAAGTCGTCAGGCATATCTGCTGTTACGAAGTGATAGTCAACCCCGGGGAAAATCCATCCATGGATGAGATGATGAGTACCAACGGTAGGTATTCCAAGTGATTTTATCGTATAAACTACCATGTGATATTCTTCTAATTACACTTCCGTGGTACAAATGCTACCTAACAAGCCCCGTACCCCCAAAAAACAAAGATCATGGGCGGAAGTGGCAGCCGGTGCGTCACACAGACCTCAGACAAAAAAAAGGAGGGCACCGAGAGAGGCGACTAATCAACACCTAGCCCCGGGCCTTCTATTAATGTTGGAACAATCTGTATCGATAACCTTGGAACCTTGGAACCTTAGAGAGGGCTATTCTGAAGTGTTGGTTGATAAGGTTCCGGTTTGTTCGCGGGGTTTTACGGCTTCCTCTCCGTCGCAAATGAGTTGATTGGCCTTTGATATAAAGGAATACGACAGGATATTGTGAGCTAACTAAACATGATAATTTCAGATAGACATTGGGTATTAGGACAAGTATACAAGCTGGCCGTCGATGTTGGCGATATGCGTAGCCAGGTCAATTTCGCTGGGTACAAAATTACCAGACGAGTCCCGGAGATCAGAATGAAGGATGGGCCTCTTATCTGGTCCCTGGGTTAAAAGGGTGATACTCCGTGCATCATGACTGAAATTTTTCCCACCCCAACTGAACTGGCCTAAAGAGAGAGGGTTGGTTAAGTATGATATGATTTGCAACACCAGTGTCTCACCATTTTCATTTCCTAGATATTCATCGAGAGGGATATTGTCAGTAAGACCACTACCCTCATCGTTGTTGCAAATTGCAGACAAGAAAGTGCAACTGGGCTCGCTTCTCAGACGGATATCACATGCACTGTGGTGGAAAGACATGGTCAAAATATTTTGACGTTTCGATATTGTGATATTCGGAAATCCTGACAAAACTTTACCAAAGAAAAACACTTGGATGATCGCTTATATATGGTGTGGAATATCTCAGCTTAGTGGCAAATTTTTGTTTATTTATGTTGTGATCGTATTTAGGTCATGATGACATGCAGATATGGGGATTGGGCTATTTAAACTGGATATCGTTGTTTAACGGTCGAACCACTCAAACATGATACACTGTTTTAATCTGATTAAACCTGGTACTTAGAAGTTAACTCATTGATCAACCTTGGAACGTTGGATAAGCAACTTAAAGAGTTTTATACACGAATTTTTATACACGAATTTTTAACTAAGTTGGGGTAATTTATGGCCAGGAGGCATCTTGATATTTGACTCTCGGATTACTGTTTTCCAGCAAAGGCATTCCTGGCCTCATGTGGCAACCTTGAAATTCATGTGACATGCCTTGTCATTACGCTCCGACTAGGTATAAGTATCTACATTCCTCCCCACTCCCAAACTGGCCCCTAGATTCTACCTAGTGGATCAATTTCTGAATCATATAACTCTAGTACTTCACTTTCTTGGATGATTATTTATAACCTATCTTCCCCAATATGCCGATTCGTAATTATGGTCTCTGGAAAGCAACCCCTGTATCCTACATTGTTGAACACGAAGAGGATGACCATGAAAGTCCGCATTTATCACTTTACTTCAGTGATAAAGGAGGACTGACTCACCATTCTGGCCACAAGTCTCGCCGAGCCAGCAGAGGAAACATTGAAATTCCCGGGCTGTTCAGAGCAGCAATCAACGTCAAGTCTGGTGACAAGAATGAATCGCGACTCGTCTACTGGGTGAATCACGATTACAAAAATCACCCGATCGTCAATAGTCTTGCCGACCTATCCTCGGGGTTTTATCCCCTTGAAGAAACGGAGCCAAATCCTGTTGGTGCGAGACTAGACTACATCCGGAGTAACTTGTTCAACGTCAACACAGGTCGCATCTTACCCCATGATGTACCAGGCTCAAACAATGATATGATTGATGTCTTGGAACCTGAGCTCAAACAGGCGATTGACTCGAAGGCCGATATTTACCTATTTGGAGAACCTTTCAGTGATCGAAAGGGTATCCACAATGTGCATATGAATCAAGGCAATGTTGATCGATTTGCAAATGATGATGGTGTGTTCCAAGACGGTGGCCTTTTGATCAACTACCCACTCTCTGGTCGATGGGTTGGGGTATTCATAGGATTCGCGTCCCAAGCTGTGCACACCGACAATAATACAGGGCATGCCATATCGTCAGAAACCTGGGGAGACTATTTTGGGAGAAAGAAGAGAGATGCCGGCCTGACCGAGGACTCTGTGACAATTAATGAGGCATTGATGAGACCCGAGTCAAACGATCCAAGAGCCAGACGGAGGTCGGTTATTCTCACAAATCCGAAAGACCACAGGATTTCATTGGCTTCCTGGAAAATCAAAAATTCAGCGGGGGAATTTCAAACACTGCCACATAATGCAGCTTTGGATGCGGGGTCAACGCAAGCGTTTGAAATCCCGGACGTTCATCTCTCAAACCTCGGCGATACCATCACACTGTTGAATGAACAAGGACTGAAAGTTGACGGGGTAAGCTATCTGTCCCGACAGGGATTTGACAGGCTACCAGTTGCTTTTGCTCATTGAAATTTCTACTTTGAAAATTGGCCTGTTGTCTTTAATTTCCCAAAAGTACTACTATCTCCTCAACAAAACGAACTTCTATCCAGAAACATACAGTATTCGGATTAATAATTGTATCCCTCAAGTGTACCTTGTGTTTTGTTATTTGATATTCTCGTGTAAATCCTAATAAAAGAGGATACCTTGATGTTTCTCGGTAAAAGTCCCTTTGGAATCAAGCAAATGATAGAAGAAGTTGTCCAGGAGGATATCCTATGTATTTTAATACTCTATAGCCGGCAGACAGACAGGCTGTGTTAATTCTTCGAGAGGGAACATCGGGCAACGCTCGGAGGGTTTATTAAATTCCATGCCGTGACTGGCTTCCGGCAAATTAATTCCTGAGCTAACGCACTTTCTATATTCTGCCGTACCCGTTATCTATCAGACCCATCTTTAGCTTGTCATAGTTATTGAAAATTGGGTTTTGGCAAATAACAATGGGAAGCATTCTGAGAGTAAAGGTATCATTCTACTATGGGACTATTAGCTAATGTACCCGACAATATATGCACCTCGAGGGGCGAAGATGTCTAGGAATAGCCCTTCTCACCACAGACCACTTAGTACACTCGTCCAATACATAGCATTGAAAACATTATTCTCATTATAACTTGCCTCTGTAAGAAACTTGTACAATTCACTACCGAGGTGCACACGCTGTAGTAAATGAGCTATTTCCATATAAGTACCGATAAGAAAGGATTGCTTCAGACGCTGTAAGCTTACAATTAAAAGCCACATACTTATCGACAGAAAGTCGAGTGCTCACTCGCTCGCCGATCAATGTGCTAGTGGCTGTCATTTTTAGTATTTACCTTCGGCGAATTTATGTACGTTGAGGTAACCCCACTAGCACCATTGCATTAATTGATAGTTGGAAGACTTGACGGACGGAGTAACTAGAAGTAGCATCATTTCTGTGGGTCATTTTGTGTGCTGACTATTACCATTCGGAAAGGACATGGACAGAAAGACAGATAGGTAAGACTCTAGTTACTCACATCATTATCTGTACAGCTACCATTGCGGCGCACTAATCTCACCGATGGATAATGGGTTTTGAACTGAATGACCTTAAAAGTCTCCGATAAAACAAAGTCTGCGGAGCTTTTTTTGAACTTAGTTGCAGTTGGCCTTTGATTTCAAATTCCTAATTATCACCGAATATGTGTCCGTGTTCCGGAGAGCGCTAAATTACTAATTGTGCTCTTTTTCGCATTGTATAAATTGCCGGGCTGTAACCTGCTTCAAAGTATTATTCACAATCCCTCACAATCTGAATGTTGAGTTTTGTCATTCTGTTTGAATTTTAAACAGCATGGGGCAAAGCAAGACTACGAACAGCTACCTCGAAGGCATCAAGAGTGCCATGCATAAATATGATGCAGAGCTCAAGAAAATCAATCATCTCGTATGATCTCCGATCCTGATGTACCATGTGAGCTTCTGCTGATTACCCAAGATATGGTCAAAACCTGAGCTTGCTTTCGAAGAGTACGAAGCACATAACAATATTTGTGCTATGTTCGAAAGCCTCGGTCACGAAGGATATAAAGTTAGGCGTAGTGCCTATGGATTGGAAACTTCCTTCGAAATAGAGTATACTCATGGCTCTGGAGGTAGGGTTATAGCATTTAATGCAGAATACGATGCACTTCCAGGGATTGGACATGCGTGTGGCCATAATCTGATAGCAACCAGCGCTATCGCAGCATTCCTTTCCACTTGTGAGGCTCTGAAGATTCTTCACGCAAACGGACCTGGTTTCATTGTCCGCCTCTTAGGAACCCCTGCCGAAGAGATGGGGGGCGGAAAGATCCACATGATCAAGAAAGGCGCATACAAAGATGTATTCGCTTGCCTCATGCTGCACCCTATGTCCCCTTTGCCCCGAGATGATAGATTTCTCAGCATTGCAGCGGGGCTCCCAGGAGGTTTCCTTGCTACTGACGACGTTCTTGTCACCTTCGCAGGAAAAGCCGCGCACGCAGCGGCAGCTCCTTGGGAGGGTATCAATGCTCTTGACGCAGTTGTGGCTGCGTATGTCAATATCTCTCTTCTTCGTCAGCAGTTGATGCCTAGCCAAAGAGTTCATGGAAAGATAGTCAGTGGAGGTGATCGACCAAATATCATTCCTATGTCGACATCAGTTGAGTATTGTATGAGAGCTTCAAGTGTGAATTCTCTCAAAGATTTGAGAGCCAAGGTTGCCAACTGTTTCGAGGCCGCTGCAACTGCCACTGGGTGCCAGGTCAAACTTGAGTGGTGAGTGACTGCTGGCTCAATCATGACTTCCCTGAATTCAACTAAAAGGTTCAAAAAGGGGAGACAATCCGTACGCTGATCTCAAGATCAATCGACCCATATGCGAAACTTTTGTCGATACAATGCAGCAAATGGGCCACAGCGCAGTTTTCGATATGCCTGAGCAAGAAGGCGTATTGAGTGGGGGTTCAACGGACATGGGTAAGTACAGCCAGTTGCAACTATTCTCGAAACATTTTTACTGAGGGGAAGCTCCGGCATTCAGGCAACGTTTCTTATGAGGTACCTGGATTTCATGCTATGTACGTCATCCCAGCAAATGGCGTCAACCACACCCAGGACTTTACTAGCGGCGCCGGATCATCGGAGGCTTTTGAACGCACAATTGCGTGTGCCTCGGGGATCGCTGCGGTGGCATGTAAAATACTGGTCGATGATGACTTTGCTGAGCAGGTAGAGAGAGACTTCCGGATGGGTTTGGAAATAACAGTGAAAAGATGAAATTCATGGTTCACTATCAGTTGGCCGACCTCAGGATACTGATAGATTCATTACGGAAAATCGTTGAAATTCCAATATTGTCTCCCTTTACCTCTGGCTCTGATTGGTAATTGCTTTTCCCATATGCTAAGCTCTATAAAATCTCTATTATGTACCCATTCATGTTCGAGAAATGGTAATGTGTGTGCGCAATGATGCCGCATCTTCAAGTTGCTATAGAAATTGAGTCCAGGCTTCAACGCAAGGGCCTGCACAATCTAAACGTGTACTATTTGACTTACTGGGCTTCCCATTTTGAGGGGAGGAAATGTATCTTCGGAGTTTGAAATCCCATACAAATCACATTAAGCTAGCTAGGCTGTGATTCAATTCTTGTCTCTGTTTTACGCTCCTGGCGGCTAAACGTCCATTTCCACGAGATAAAAACAGATACCGTAGCAAGGTTGATGCGTATATGTGGCTCCAAGATGATGAACAATAATAGCTCCCGTTTACGCAATACCGAGCCGCCATCTAGATGGCCAGCTGACCTCCGTATGTTATAGCTACCTTCATTGTCTAAAGGGATCGCGTAAAGGAGTTGACAATTTTGTAGTATATAAAGAGATTTATTAAAAGGTTTGGCTAGGAGACATTTGAATGTGGGTTTACATATCCGATCTCTTTGCCACTGTTCGAGCCCGTATACGAGCCCCGTAGCGCCAGAATATGACGGGTACTGGAATCATGATCAAGCTCAGAAACGCAACTAAGGTTGCCGCCCAATCTACGCCGAGGTTGTGGAACATGTAATTGGCGAAAAGAGGGAAGACTGCCCCGAATATGCTGCGAACAACGCCATTCGCCGCCATAGCACTGTTGGCAGTCTCCGTGTAGCAATCCACAATGTAGATGAAGCATTGGGTGAAGATTGTATACATGCCCCATCCGATTAGTATGCCTGAGCAAACTTGGCTTGGCCATGGAATATACGGGCTCGATGTCCATCCATACCAAAAGAGTCCGATAGGAACAAGACACCCACCGAAGATCATTAAAGGCAAACGGTCTTCAGGCTCGGTTTTGCCGCCTCGGGCATTGATTTTTCCTCTGAAGTATGTCATAGTGTAAATCACTACAACCGCTGTACCAACTAGAACCCCGATAATGATTCCCAGAAGAGGTAGTGAGGCGAGGTCACTGCTCCAGCCACGTACCTCACTAAATGCAATAGGATATGACTGATAAAACAGGTACATCAACCCATAGATGTAGGATTGATAGAGTGTCAGTAGTACCAAAATGGGCTCCGTAAAAAATAAAACTGGGTAGTCAGTGTTTAGCAATAATCAGATATAGGGCCGCGCAAGTATGACACTCACCCCAGGGACGTATCAGGTAAATCCGTGCCAAAACACCAATCGAAGCGCCTTCCACCTCTAACTTGGAACGCATGTTTTTGTTTCCCGTTTCTTTGCGAAGACGTTTTGCGTTTCTATGAAGAATGCTGGGTGGATGTGTTTCGGGGTATGTTATTAGGGCAAGCAGAGAAATCGCCAGGCCCGCAATAATCACAACCCACATGGTCCACCTCCAGCCAATAGAGCTTTCGACAATGAAGCTGCCAATGACTGGGCCAAATGTAGGACCCGAAAAGACCAAACAGATGCACAATGCCATTGCGATACCCCGATGGACAGCATTCCAACAGTCCGTGATAATTCCTCCGAGTATGGCAATAGGCGCAACTCCAAATAATCCAGCCAAAAAGCGCCCAATCAACAATGTCGCCATGTTTTGACTCAAAGCCGCCATCAAACCAAATAGAGAAGATATCGTGACCCCCGCAATCAAGGGATATTTTCGGCCAACTCTCTCCGACAACGGTCCAAATATCAGCGGCCCGATAATGTAGCCCTACACATGTCTTAGCCATGATCCTATCCTGTGGGCTGCCATATCAGGCGTATCTTACATACCACGAGAAATAAGGATGTACCAAGCACTGTCACCTCATCACTGATGCCGAATTCCTCCGCAACGTTTTTCTGAGCAGTGCCGAAGATACTGCTTGAAATGGTGACCACGAGATTGAATATCGCCAGCATGAAGCTGACCCAAACGCGGTGTCGTAAGGCCCAGTTATGTGGGTGGGAGGGATCGTCTGGGCCAGTAAACTCGATAATCTCAAGTTGGGGAACTTCCCGCATGGGAGTGCCATTTGGCTCTCGTTCGATGTCCGTTGTCATTCGATTTGAGAGTGTTGTGAACTAAGTCGGGTTGGTGGGATTGATGGGACTGCTTCTTGCTTTAAAGGTAACAGATGAAAGAGTGATTAAATACTCGGATACCGAAGTGGAGGGCAGTAGCATTGGGATGTAGTCAGTGGCAGAGACGCGGAGACTTTTCTCCTAATGCCAGAGGGCGGGAGTGGCGCTTAGAATTGTGGACTATCTTTATGGTATATCACACTGAGACAAGCGATAAATAAAGGTCCGTTTCGGAGACTTCTATGCATTGATTGCAAAATTCATTGATTGAGTACCTACCCAGCGGCTTACACTCAATCTCCTGATTCTATCTCTTCAAGTCATCAGCTCGATCTTCACACATATCCCTATTAGAAATATTAGATAATGCCTAATGGCTATGATTTTGTGGTCTACAGGTCAAGAATTTGGCGTCCTCGTTATCAGCGCTGGAAGTGGACCAGACGGGCTTTGAGGCGGCAATGGCATGTTTCAGCTCACAGAAATACCGCAACCAAAGTGTCTCTATGATGCGCGGTTTTTTATGCCTACCAATAGCAATGGTAGTGTTCAGAAAACTTCCCAATTGGGGAAAGGGGGGAGGCAAGACGGCCACGATGATGGGGCTCTTGCTGATGAAACAGTTTCTGCGCGATCTACACGAAAGCACAAGTTAATTTCCAATAGAATAGACTTATCTCGTATATTCTTCGGAACAAGGGCAATCGGTTTATTCCTCTGAACTACAACACCCAGCATATCGACCCTTGGCTCCCCAATTTACGGTTTGGTTCTTCTGACCCGCATGTCGAATAACGCCGCCGTTTCACACGTGAGATCCCATTTCCAGTTGAGGAACGAATACGGTGCTCGGACTATTTGTTTGGTAGTCCTCCCTTAACACGTTGGATTAATGACAGCAATGTAGGTGCCCGAGTAGAAGTTCTCCACGGAGACTTATCTATCTTACATAAGCCCAGACGCTTTAAAATGTTCCGGGAGGTTCGAAGTTCCTCTAAACCTCATCATCATGGCCACACCACAGCGCGTCACTGGTAGCCAGCTGACCTCAATAAGACCTGGAACGGGCGGTCGGGCCTTTCGGGTTGCATGCGATTCTTGTAGTAGGCTTCTTCTCCTCTACCAGAGCTAGTACCAAATTGACCGACGTGGATTGTATTAAGGAGCGAAAAAGGTCCGATGCTCCGGAGAGCGCCCTACTTGCACAAGATGCCTTGACACCAAACTAAGTTGTTGTTACTCACCTCAAATGTCACTGGGGAGACCAAAGTCTCGGCGGAGCCATCAGAAATCCCACCGGATTCGTCAACGCGAACATCGGGCTGCTTCACGTCCGCGCTCCACATCGCCTGACAGTCTTCCCCATGCTGATACGTCGCCCATAATAGGCGGGGATATTGCGACACACCAGCCTCATCAATTTACTTCCTTGGAAGATCTTCAAACGGACATAGGGAGTGGTTTGGTCTGTTTACCATCCGTAAACGGAAGTAATCGCAATGATGATTCGTAAGATAGCTCCGTTTAATCTCAACTGTAGCACTTTGCTGACAACCAGACGCTTGCCATAGATCTCCAGAGCGGTTTTACCCACAACCAAAGGGGGACATGCTTTCTATTCCAGCTGATCGTTGTGCTTGTCTTTCTGAACAGTATCTGTTATTGGAGCAGTTGCGAGTAAAGTCCCGGCTTATAGCCCCAGACGATCTTGTTATTTTACGTGGGTCTGTACAAAAGGCCATCGAGATTTTGAATTGCCAAGAATGCCCGTCGCGCTATTTTTCAGTTATTCAAAACTCCGTGATTTTGGGTGTTGTCTGTATGTGCATTGCGGAATGTTATGCAAGGATACTTGATGCAATTGATGCAGAGGAGGCGCGCCTCGCGCGAAATGGCGAACATAAGCGGATTCGAATTTCTAGTATTGGTGATGGTATTCCGTGTTATCTTAACCCATCTGATGACACCTTTTCAGCAAAAGTCGCACCAGCGGAATGGAGAAGTCTGATGCGCAATATCGTCAAGACTGAGATTTATGGAGTGGACGATAGTGCAATGTGTTTTATGAAGTTGGTTGAACTGTTGGAGTTGCGCCAGACGCGCTGGCATCAGGATCCGCCTGCATTTGATTGCCCACCTTCTTATCGTTCGACATGCCAGGTTCCGGACAGAATACCGACCTGTCTCCTTATCGTCGGTGATGTTAGGAAGCTTATTGATTTTTATGCCCTGTAGGCTGACTTTTAAAGATAATTTCTATTATAAAACTTCCTCCAACATGGTAAGCAAGTAGTGGGATTATTTAATGTTTTGGCGCCGATTCATAGTTCGAATACAACGGGTTTGGTAGCTGCGGATCATGAGAGAATATCTCTTGCCGAGTCGCCGGCGGATCAAACCTCTCCTCAAGGGGAAAAGTGTTCACCAGCCTAGCGGCTTCCATTCCGAAACAGAGAACATCTTTTTCCGCGGTAAGTCGATCTCGAAAGCATCTGTCATCAACTGATTGCCAGGAGCAATCAGGTCATAGTGGATGGCAGGATCACGTTCGTCGTCGACGCGGTCACTTCGTAGTATCAACTTTGACGGGCCATCCGCACATGTAGCACAGCCTCGGGGAGAATGGATAACTTTGGGATGAAACAATCCATCGGCGATTGGTTCTGGCTATTTGTACTTCCGACGTAATCTCATGTCTCTGTCAAGAATGCTGTTGATGGCCTCCTTGAGCCGATGCCCCTTTCTCTCGTATCATGTCATTGCAGTGCGCAATATAGTTGATGGCTGGTTGAAGAATCGCGTATGCTGAAAACTTTGATCTTGGATGGAAGAAGTGTATATTATTGACACAGAAGAAGCCCATTTAATCTTTAGTTCTAATCTTGAGTTTAGTATTGGCCCTTTCGCTTAGGGCGCTCTGTCCTTGTGCGTCCCGTGCGTGGTTCTATAAAACCCTCTTGGTCCCCTATGTAAGGCTGTCGTTTCTTACACGCATCTGTTACGGGCAACTAAGTATGCCATCGGAACTCAACTCTCTCATTGGATAATATTGCCGGCAGTTTTCAGTCATCCACCGTCATTTGCAGAGTATAGTTAGAGTCAACCTACCTACCATTTAATCGATAATTTACGAGTATACAATAATAGTCGGCTGCTTATACGGCCTAGTAATATCTTTTTAGTGGTCTTTCTAGATATTTTTTTGGATGCTCTTTTCTAGCGGCGGAGGCTTCTGGTATCAATAAGGAGGTTTTGGCTACCTAGAGTGCTGGCTAGACATGGTCGATGAATCTAGCCCTATCTTGGTGCCGACTGAATCACCTACCTGCGAAGATCCCACTATCAACCATTTTCACTTGGATGGAAAGGGCTAACTTATAATCATGCCTTTTATCCTTCTTTGCTAATTAGCCTTAAGAGGACGACCAAAGCAGGTCATGAAAACCACTGTAATTGCCAAACTATAGTATGCGAATGGGATGATTTGGCTAGTCATCAGTTAGGTCAATAACTGTAGCTTTTCCCTTGCCAAGGTCAGACTCCCCCTGGGCTGTAGAGCGTTGACTTCTATACCGCTTTGCAGATGGTCCAGGTTCTCCACAGGTCGATCTCTTCATCTGCCGCAGATTTGGCTCATTGGGGCGTTCTTCAAGAAATTTCAGTTCTTTGAAAGCGTGTTTAATACCCGCTATGTCTCTGTCGCTGTATCCATGTACCTGGCGACAATGCGTTGAGAATTCCTCCTTGTTTGTCAAAGGGAACCCCGGGCTTTCTGTTGGGCCACAGTCTCCTTGTACGCAGTGCAACTCTATAGGCTCATCATCTTTATTGGCGTCAGCATCTCGTTGACGAGCTTCCCAAAAGTGAAATACAGCCCTATCTCGTAGCTTATCTCGAGTATCCGTAGTCAAGTTCTTGACCCAACCTGCTAGCTGCAAGGATGCGACTGGTCCTAGTATCCTCGGTTCACCATGTTCTTCCCTATATTCCTTGAGCGGATCTTTGCTCAATTGCTGCTCCAACCATTGAAAATCATTGGCATAGCATAACTTGCCAAATTCATGCCAGGCCTTAAGATGTTGAATGACAAAATCTCGGTGCTCTGTCACTCCCCAGGAATGTATCTGGTCGACCAACGACAAGAGCTCCCATGCTTTGCGCTTGGTCACAACCCGGCCGCTCCAGATCCTTTGAAAAACCTATCATCACAATAAGTATACGAAGGCAAGTTTACTTCCATTGGCCAAACTTACATAGACAGACTTACTGAGTCCTTCATGTCCGGCATGCTCTTTCTCCAGACGCAGTCGCTTGTAGCCCACCAACACATGCCAATGAGCTCCAAAGGACGTGAGAGCAAAAACTTGATTATTGCAACTCTGTTCAGTTTGGTATGGTCTTTCTGATCCAACAGAAGGCCCTGGCTTCCTTGCTAAGTTATCTAGCATATCAAGGTAAACCGCTCCTGCTGAACAAGCTTGGCGGCGAGCTTCTCGAGGGTCCCCACTCCATCCCTTAGCTTCATAAACAGCAAAAGGGAAGACTAGGTCTACATCTCCCCAATGTGGGTCAGAAATGAGACCGCAGTGGCGATGCAGAAGGAGGGATTCAAGACGGTCACGATCTAGGCTCCATACATCCAAAGACTCGGGGTACTCGGGGTAATCGGCAGGTTTGAAGGTCGCAAGTCCGAAAGTAGCATCCGGTATTCTTTTAACAAACTTGGGTTGGCCGTCAAGGAGACATGACACATTATTTCTTTTTTGCTTGATTGTGTTGTACTCATGTTTGTCTCTTGATTCAATTGGTCAACAGTTAGAACCCGCTCCAGGAAATAGAAACTCACACTGCCAACGCTGGGTCCTCCCTTAGCAGACCAAAAACATCTTGCCACGCATCGGCTTCCCAAGCATATTCGCTTTTCTTAAATCTTTCGTTGTCCAGGCTATGCTTGAGGAATTTTTCTGCTCTGACACGACGACCGTCTTCGCTAACATGGTTCCAATCGGTATCATGAAGTGAAGGAAGCCAGAGATTATGGCATGGCGTAACGTATGCCGGTGAGTAAAAATGCCGATAATAGATGCCTCGAGCGTTGAGCCCCCAATCCGCACCATAACGCTCTATCATTGAAAGCGGTGTTTCTTCGCCGGGTATGAGATAGCTTTTTTTTTCCCGATTAGCCTGATAATGTCACATAGGAAAAGGCCTGGGAGAAGACTATACTGCTGAGCACCGACGTAATACCTTTCCAGTGCTGATTCAAGATCATCATCTGTTCTTCCATCCCTTTGCGTCATATCAACTGGCGGATAAGTAACTTCGAGCGCTAGTATTTCCGGGGACCCAATTTCTCTCGTTTTTTTGAGCGCTCGAATCTGCTGGTACAGCTCCGCCCGCTTATTTTTCCATTGCTCTCGGTACTCGTCTTTAGTGATGCCTGTTACGTAGTTTGAACGAGCACGATCTTCTGATGGATACTCTCTCAAAAATGAAGGGTGCGGGACCATTGGCCCATCAAGATGAACAGTCCCTTTCCAAGGCTCTGGCTCTACTTCTTCGGATTGAGCAACAGGTCTCAAACGAAGGACAGGGCTGACCGCCTCTGAGAAATTTTCAGATTTTGACATTGTTCGGATAAAGCCAAAGGAAAGCCCAAGTTCACCTTTTGACAAGATCCTAGAACATGCAGTGATGAGGGAATCAGGGCCTAGGAATGGGTACGGAGCAAAGCCGATTGTTGCTTTGACTATGTGCAGATGCCAAGATAACTGATGTTTCAGAGAAAGCAATGATATCCAATCATTTCTAGTAGCTCATTCAGTCGAGGGGTCCCTGCGAGCTTAGCTGATTCTCGCCCTGATTCACCTGTGTCCGCAGCCGCGTGACCCGCGACCGTAAAGGGGCACTCACCCATTTCTTACCCGGGCAGCACCCACTAAACTTTTGACCGCACAAGAGCTACTCTGTACGAGAGTACTCCGTACACGTCAGCCGGATATTACTTGGGTCTTCACTGCATTGCCTAATTTCTACTCCGTAGGATAGCAAACTCTAGCCAGGATCGTGTGACCGAGGTTACATGCGTTGGCATTCATGAGCTGCCTATCACCATTTGTGAGGTTCCTCGGATCCCTCGCGTCAAACGATAATATCTAGCTCATATGATTGGACATTAGTGCTGGGTGGCTGGGTTTGCACACCAATCAGGCCGCGACAGGTGATCAACAAAAAACGGCCCGTCACGCTGAACTTCTCTGCGAACAGGTTGAGGCTGAAAGTGAAAAAGGACGATGAAATGAGTAACAGAATTTATGGACCACGCTTGGCTGTTACAGGTAGGATTAAAATCAGTTCCCCAACTTGCACACAGACGCCGAAAAGTTCTAGATTGTTATAGACTCATCGGCCACAAGATCTTGTCGGATCGATATGTAGTCCCCCTTGTCCAGCTAACGAGTGAGTTCTGATTCCATATCATCCTCTTCCGACTAGTAGTGAGAAGGTAAAGCCCTTCGTGTTTAGACCCCGCAAAGCTTTCCATCCACAAAAGTAAGAAGTGAGTTCCTGCGAGAGGATGGCTCGGGATCAGGATTCGGTCTGCTAGAGTCGGCTAAGCCGCGGCTAAATAATCAGAAGTAGCGTCGACACTAGCGCTATGTTCAGTTGGCCACGATATAATGTTGATTACTGTACTAATAGGCAATGAATTACGCTATACGGAAAAGCCACGATTCTACCTCGAAAAACCACGCACAATCATGGCCTTTCCACCGTCACCCCCCATATCGGATATTGGATGCAGATTGTTTCATATTTAGCCATGATACGGTCGGATTAGCGCACTTGGCTTTGTGCGTACCCGTGCGTGGTTCTATATTATGCTTCGTGTGTTTCTCCGTGTACCTTCTAGAACTTCCACGCCACGCGACGAAGGACAAATGCCACTCAACTTCATTGAAAAACATAACCCCGGATGCCTGCTTGGGGGAAAACTAAATTGGATACTTATTTCCTTTCCGAATGGGAATAACCTCACCCAAACCCGTCAGTCTTTACTGAGTCCCCCGCAGACCGTCGCAAAAGGCTTTTGCGCCGATTTCTCGCATTGGGGTACGAAGGAAGACAGGTGAATGCCATCTATACCTTGCGAAAGACTACAACATTTAACTAACTGAACATCAAAGGATTAGCCTTATCGACCAGGCAATGCACCGCCCTTTCCCACTCAACCTCAAATAGATGATATTCTTCGGCCCGTAAGGCCTGAAGCACTGCGTGTCTACGGTCATAACACCACTGCTGACAATGGCTACTGGCTTCGTCTCTGCTACACGAATGAAGAGGGTCATAATGCTCTATGGTCTGCCAATGAAGTTGCAGAATGGGTAACTTATGATGAGGTTGACCTTAAAGATTAAAGTATTTTCGGTGGCCTGGATTTGGCAGCTGCTCTGGAAATATTTCCTGAGCGGGTCAACTTTGAGATCAGAAAGGAGAGCCTCAGGGGCACGATAGGGGATGCCGAAGAAGGCGGCTGGGATGAAAACCCTCTTGAGCCCTACGCCCTGTATCGGGCAGAGTGTGTTCTTACCCATATATATGTGGAGGATCACGGCGCTTGGTTTTAGCATGTTTGGAAAGGGGACTTTGAAGGTGAGCGTGGAGAAGTCGGTCCTGCTTATCAGAAGGGTGGAAGCCGAGGTCCCCCATACACTCTTTGAAGACGTGAGATTGTGAGCTAGTACATGTAGATATAAAGCCAGTCATTTCAGTCTGGTGAAGGGTCATCCCTGAGAAATACTCCACGTGCTAGGGAAAAGAGAGTTGTATAAAATCAATTGGAAGAAACATAAGAGACATGATAAGGAAAGGTCTATTGTACTCAAGTCAGGTATTTGATGAGGTATCATCCTCTGCTTAATCGCAATCAATTATTAGTTCGGTTACATCCTCAGTATTAACGTGGGAGACGTATATTCTAGGTTTAAGTTATAATAATACTGCGGAATAGACATCGACATTGCCCGTCCATGGGCACTAGGAAGTGTCCACGACCGTGAGGACCCTCATGGAAACACTTCCCTCTAGCAAGTATTAATATCTATATGAAAGAATATATTACGTTATTCCCCTCCAATACATAGTTTCACATAGCCACCACATGGATATACCTTAACAACAAACATAAAAATATGTGCGAGGGAGTTATCAAAATACATCATGAGATGTTGAGAGATTGAGATATGGGGAGTGCAGAGAGCTATAGAAGAAGAGAGCCGAAGAGGTGCAGGACCAATCAAGAGAGTACGAACTGGAGAAGCCGGAATGCATCTCTGACAACATAATATCTCACCTAGGTGTCTTCTTTACCAAACCCCAATAACGTAACCTTTTCCACGGAGAATTTTGATTAAGAGTTTCTACTAAAGCCTTATTGACAAATCGTCGGACCGAATAAACGAAGTATTCCCCGGATCATCGAGCGTAGAGTTGTAGCGCTGATTAGATGGTCGAGTAGCAAGCTCCAATCATTCTCAATATTGATATCATTATATAACGTACATTTCACACTGCCTTCTCCACGGCAAACCCAAAGCAGCTTAGGCCTAACATAATTTGCGGCGTTGTCACAGGATGACGCACTTGGCTCTTTCCTGCTCCATTTCATTCACTCATTAACAATCGCCCTCGATAACTATTCCGAATCCGAGAACTCGAAATCCGATGAGTCCAAATCCGATGAGTCCGAATCCGAGGAGTCCGAATCCGAGGACTCGGAAGAACTCGTTGACTCGGTCGACGATGTATCCGATTTGTCCTCGTCCATGTCGCTGTCGGTGTCCCCCGTGTCTTCCCAATGTTCACTACTACAAGGGATCGTCAGTATCGTCTCTCTCGGGAGTCAAAATCCGAACCGATGAAGGGGAAACTGAACAAACCTGTAGGACTCGTTTAGGTCGCGCCAGTCTGGCGGCAGGTCGCCTGCAACTTGAATAGTGCGGGCGTATCTTTCGATCTTTTGCCAGAAGTAATCTGTCTGTGGACGATTGCTTGGGCTTTTGTAAGGAAATTGCTGTTTGACGAGCACGGTTAGTGATCGAGAGTTTGGGCTCGGCGAAGTACATCTCTTACGTTACTGGATATGGAGAGCTGGATAAATGATACGACAAAGGCAATCCACCATTTCGTCCGATTGGGGCCTCTGAGGCCACGCCCACCTCGAAACTCGACGGTGCCGGTAAAGCGGGCGCCGGGGACGGTGTGCTCGAAGTTCCACATCACGCGCCGGTCCTCTTGCATAAAGCGCTTCAACTCCTCCTCGTTCTTGATCTTCCAAATCCGTTCCATGGTTTGTCGGACATCCTTCTTGGAACCGCTCTTGTACATCGAGCCCACGAGTGAAGTTTCCCAGTTATTCTGGCAGTACGTATTGTTGCGGCGGGGGAGGGGAGCATGTCGTTCAGATTGTTCGCGTAAAAGACGATACTGCAGGCGATATTCTTTAGCTCAGTCATGGTGAAGCGCTTGTTGGGCCCAGGGGAGACATGGATGTGGCTGCCGCATTTAGCGGAGCGGCGGGGCATTTCGAAGACACGGTCCCAGGAAGTCCAGAAGAGGTTGATTTCGGTTTGCCAGTCTGCGACTGTGCTGAGCACCGGGGACACAGCTTCTATGGGAACTTTCGACTCAGCATATTAGTATTTTGTAGTTAGGACGGAGAGCGCTGTCCCCGGGATGAACAGCAGTTCTCACTAGCAGGGTAGTCTGGTTCGCCCAGCGATCCATCTCGTGTGAGGAACCATTTGTCATAATGCTCAGAATGCTTGCGGTATCTGCCTTCTAGGGAATCTGCTTTTGCATTAAGGCCATGGGAGCGGAGAGATTTGGCGAGTTTCTCATAGTAAAACCTTCGGTCCAGGGGTTGTCGGATTTCGTGAGGCTCGGAAATGAGCTCGATCTCGACGCCAAAGTAAAAAGAGTACCTTGCCATGAGGGTCGTGTCAATGTCGCTTTCGTTGCTCCTTCATATATATAGATATATATATAGACCAGACACTCCAAGGTGGGCGCTCACTGCTACACGCAAGGTGAGAAATCGGATAATATGGTGTCCATCACATATTTAGTCTTTCAGCCTCATCAACCCATCTGGGGCCGATTGCCTCGTATCAGATATCGAACACCAATGCCCGTTCTTCTGCCCAATTGAGCCGGGAAAGCTCCCAATAGGGCCCCTCGCATGGGGATGGCTGAGTCTGAGCCCCCTATCCCCCTCTTGCCTGTACGAGTAGGGGAGTAAGTCACCGGGACAGTATAGGCGCCGAAGTGCCCAAAACAGAAAGAGTCCGATACAATAGCTGCAGAGCGAGAGACAGCTGCATTACGGTAGCGCAGCCACCGGCAAAGAGAAAACCGCAGCACGACGATTGTGACCTTTTACCTGCCTTGACTCCTGCAGGTTCGAGAAGTGCACGTGCTGGGACGGAAATAAGTGGTTGATGTGAGAGAGCAGCGAGAACCATGGGGTCCACGGGTAAAATTCCGATACGCTTACTGTACAGCAGTCGATACCCGTGGACGTGTATATGCAGGCTTTATCCTTGATCCGGTACCTCGGACCTACACAGGCTCTGACAATATAATTATCGTCGGGCTGTACGAGATGGTATTAATTACTTAATTACAAAAATAACTTATCTAAAATAGGCACCTGGGCAGAATTTCAATATGGTGGGCTTCTATCGACTGCCGTGAGTAGTTAGACCAACCATGTCGTCCTAAAAGCGCGTGCAGATTCCGCCTCACTGCGCCTTGTACCTCCTTGACACGTCATACGAAATGCTACATCCGCAGGTATTAGGTGTGTGGCTTATGCTGGGATGAATTTCTCAGCCCAATCGAAATCTTATTGTGGGAAAATAACACCATACTGTCGTTCACACAATCATTCTACGCGGCGCAGTTTCCTTGTTCACTGTGTTTACGACTGAATCCTTCTGCTAGTCCATGCTTCATGCTGGTGACTTGAGCCATCCGAATCCTGGAATGCGTCTTAGCCTAAAATGTCGACCAAGATATCTCATCGCCAATACTATTTCGCCTTTGGCAGCAACATGAATTTGACACAAATGGCCGATCGTTGTCCCGGAAGCACTTTCATCGGGAAGGCCACACTGCGGGGATATAAGTGGCAGATCAACCAGAGGCATGTGGCAAACATTGTCAAAGTCACTGAACACGTTTCAAGTGGACCAGCCGATCAGGGTGATGTGGTCGAGGGTCTCGTCTTCTCCGTTACCGATAAGGACCGTCGGACTCTAGATCGCAAGGAAGGCATCAAACTCGGTGTCTATGAGCGAGTCGTGCTGAATGTTCTCCTGGAGCGACATCCAACTTTAACTGAGAAAAAGACAGCGATTGTCCGAGACAAGCTTCAAGATGAGTCTTATGACATTGGCGAAAATGCAGCAAATTCACAGCCCAAGCAGTCAGTGCTGTCCAAAAGACCACTGCCCTCAGTAAGATGTCCGCCAGCCGAGGTTGAAAAAATTGAGGCGATCACATACCTGAGCACCAGGTATGCTAATGATGGACTAATACGACTCGAGTATGTCCAAAGAATGGAAAACGCAATAAACGATGCCGTGAAACTCAAAGTTTCGAGGGATTTTGTGGAACGATATCTTGAACCTTACATCAATGGAGATGTGTATCAACCGGAAGAGGACGTCCAAGAAAACCCCTCGACTTCCAATCCTTCTGTCTCACAGACTGTCTCCGAAGAAAGGAAAAGAAAGGCAAAAAGCGGGCCTATTCTGCACTCCGCTGGTGCACAGAGGCCAGATCATGCCCACCCAGCTCATCACACCAGAAGAAGGAGCCACGGCGCAAACTCCAGGAAACAACCTCTCCGAGGCGAAGATAAAGGAACCAGGAGAGCCCACTCAGGAACAGGCAAGGAAGAACCACCCCCAACAAAAGAACAACATAAAGAGCCCGCCGGCCTCCGGTCACTGTTGTCGTCAATGTTTGGCTCTAGTCAGAGTCAAGGCACCGAAAAATTTCCTCGGGGTCCCTAACATAGGAGAAATTCCATGTCAATTAGTATGATGTTATTCAAGAAATTAAAATTGTTTAGTTATGAAAGTAAGAAACCAAACATAATGAAAGAAATATCAAATTAAGATTAGGCCTAATACATCGAATTGAATTAGCTCCCATGGCTACGTTTCATATGCTGTTGAGCTCCTACATAGGTGGTTTATCTGTATATAAACACCCAAGTATACTTATCAAACCTTTTGCTACTTTGAAAGAAATATCAGTACATCCAAGTAATAAATTAGCACGTATAAATTACTCCTTAGTCTCGTACTATTATAGCACATGTGGCTAAAAAGGACCTTCCGACATATGAAGTACATATCAGGTTCAATTTAAAGTGACAATATACGCTTTCACCAGGTCTAAATATCTCCCCCAGAGGATATAAAGAAAGGATCAACTATCGGCAACTTATGCATCGGCCGTGCAGAGCCGAGGTTAAGCAGTAGTTACATCTCGCCACTTTGAGGAACGAAGACGGTACTCGCCATATCAAATGGATAATCATCACCCGGGTCGTCAGCGATTTCGGATCTGCAATTTCAAGCAAATTAATTTACTAGGCAAAATCAAAGAAAAGGGTGAGAAACGCACCGGTTAGATTCGTTCATGGTCTTGAAGCTTTCCGGCAGGTGTTGGGCCATGCTCTCGGTAGCGGCGGCGTTTCGGATCTTCTTCCAGAATTGCGACGCGGTGCTCGGCGCGTAAGAGCTCTTGAGAGGTAGTTTAAACTGCGGCATGTTAGCACAAGTGTCTCACTACGTCAAGCCTCGAACTTTGTACAACATACCTCTTGGATTGCCAGAATCATGAACGCCACGGCAAAACTTATCCACCGCTTCGTCCTTACTGGGCCTCTCAGGCACCTCCCACCTCGAAATTCAACTGTGCCGATCGCTGTCTCCTCTGAAAATGGCATACGTGTGACATTGTGGAAGTTCCAGAGTACCGGGCGGTCCTTTTTCGACAAGCCCTGTATAACTTCGACCAGTTTCTCCTTGTTCTTTACGGCGTTGATCAACGCCGCTACTTCGCTTATGCTCTTACCTTTCAGACGTTGAGAGTGTTTCTTGTTAGGCATACAGTAGTGGTAATTTCTCCGACTTTCAGGGAGAATTTGTTGGACTTGCTCGTCGAAGAAGACGACAGCAAAGGCGATTGCCTGCAGCTCTTTGAGGTGGAAGGTGCCTCTACCGGGGGACACGTGAACATGGCTACCACATCTCAACACGCGCCGGGGCATGTGGAATACGGCCCTCATGGCGGCCCAGTATGCATCGATTTCATCCTCCCACCGCTTGCGTGTTTCCAACCGTGGCGATACGGCCTCGAGAGGCACTGGACACAAAATGTCAGCTTTTATTAGGACGATCGAGTTCAAGTGCGAGATTCGACCTACCGCCGGGATGCCTGGGCCATTCTGGGGCAATCAGCGATCCATCCCAAGTGATCCACCAATTAAGGTGGCGCTCTCTGGTCTCCCGATACTGGGCCCTCCGGGATTCAGCAATTACTTTCAATGGTTGTTGGTCACATCCTTTCCTGTTACGCATAGCTTTGGCGATCTTGCCATACCAGAGGTCAAGGTCATTTTCCACGGGTGCCGGTACGGGCTGTTGTTTATTGTGCGGCTCGACGATAACTTCTATCTCGACGCCGAAGTAGTAGAAGGCCATATTGTCGTCAGGTACGAGGTATCAGTGCTGGGATAGTTCAGCTGGAGACCTAAACATTTATATTCCAAAGGAAAGGGTGTTATTATGCGGCAGGACAAGAGCCTCTAGCCTTTTTTGCCTTAGGCCATTGTATATCCTAAAATACGCCGACAAAAGGCCACAACCATCAAAAGCCACCACTAGACACATGTTAGGCGCACTCGGCTCCAATACTGCTGGTTTCTTCATTACTGCCATTCCCCGCTAGATCACGAGGCTGCAGTTCCAAGGTTGGTACGAAGGATTCCTAGCTGCATCTGCGTGGCTGACACATTGCCTGGGCAAGGGGAACCGAGCACAATCAGCCCCATTCCAGCCGCAAGTATATCTGCGAGGGCCTGCACCGTTAGTGCCGCAGCGGGCGAGGCTGATTTTCGTTAGCCCAGTACTACGTCCCTATGTGGACTAGTGTTATTGTGGACGGCTGCTGCCTTAGGTTGGGCCATTAAGGTCAGTTCCTGTAAGCCACCGTGTGCGCTGGCACAGTTAAATACAGAAAAGGTCCATGGACACAACTATCACTCCGTAGTGGTGAGGCATCGGCCGATAGCCGGACTGGGGCAGACTATGGCAAACTGTTGGGCAAAGGGGGCGTAAGTTTTTCTGCCCGTTTTGGATTCGTCATTTTGGCAATTAATACGATGTCGTATAATATACGGAGTACTGCGTAACTTGCTTCGTTCACTGCAAAAGGCTAACTAGGCATAAATTGGAATAGGCTTAGTTAGCCTTAGCGACTGCATTAATTAGGATATAGGTCATATTCGGTGATTAGAACCCATCTGCGAGATTCAATCTAGAGGGGAAATTACATACAATGATAGACTACTTACGATTTGATGTGTATAGATAATACTAATAATATATGGAACATCAGAGGCTCGAAACATGGATGCTGGAGAGTACGAGTAGTGGGGTAAAAGAGAAGTTCTCTACGACGCGAGTAATGTAACGAGATGACATAGGGGCGGTAAACACCAGCGGTGAAGTTTCACTATGGGCAGAAAGAGTCATGGCCCTATGCCCGAGAGGCTGCCATACCCAGACAAGTGCTGCCTCCTACTGAAGATTAAAATCTTGGAACTACTCACAAAACATTCATCTTGCGCAGATCTGCACTTTCGTGAGTGACTGGCTAGTGCACTATAAGTGATACATCGCGATCATTCAACTTCCTTTCAACGTTGGTCGTGGTAGTCGTCAACAAAGTGGGAGTTTTTGTGGCTCGCAGCTATCTCAACGGGTTTTCTTCCCCATCTCATCATCATGGCTTCCAGATCCGCTAGGAGGCCGGAGCGCTGGTACTATTTTGCATACGGTAGTAATATGTGCCTAAAGCAGATGGCGGAACGGTGTCCTTCGTCTATATTCAAGGGAAAGGGCAGAATTGAGGGATACAGATGGCAGATCAACCAGCGTGGTGTTGCAAATATTGTCGAATGTCGAGGAGACTATGTCGAAGGTCTGATTTACCAAATCGACGCCAAAGACAAACGAAAATTAGACCGCAGCGAAGGCGTAGCGCTGGGATTCTACAGCGATGAGCATCTACACACTCAGTTCTTGCCCTTGCTAAATTGCGGGATCAAGACCTTTCATGTTGCGAAGGAACTTGAGATGGACGATCAGCTTGATATCACAAAACCAGAACACCAACCAGCATCGAGGTATCCAGGGCAAGAGAGCTTAGAGATGGTTGAGGCTCTTGTCTATGTTAGCCGCGAGTACAAGGACGACGGATTAATCAGATCAGAATATATCACACGCATGGAGAAGGCGATCATCGATGGACGGAAGATGGGATTGTCGGATCGATTCCTGACTCAAATTGATCGTACCATTCATGGGGAGCTGCCACGTCCGAATAACGATGCATCCCGAACAAACCCCGGTCCTTATGCGAGAATGGAAGCTGGTGGTACAAGCCACCAGCCGCACAGGACCTTGGAAAGCAGTCAACCAAGACAGGAACAGGACGAACGCTTGTCGACAGTTCGACCCAGCTATCCAAGGTACGCGAGGGTGATAACTGTTCGGCCGAGGTATCAAGACTTCCGCGACCTCGACGGCAATCTCAGATATCCGGATGAAAGACCCTATCGACGGTATCAAGACTTCCGCGACCTCGACGGCAATCTCAGATATCCGGATGAAAGACCCCATCGACCGACTTACAATACTGGAAGACAGTCAGAGACTCGAGAATGGGGCAGGGGCAGGTCTCCGACGAGTTTCAGGCAGAGTCGAGAGTGGGACGAATGGGGCGGTACAGAATCAACTACGCTTGTTAATTCGCGTTACCATGTTGGAGGTTATGCTGAGCAGGTTCTTGAATACCGCCGACGTGGTAGCTCAACTCCATTCTAGATTAGACCTTTTTTTCCCGGTATTCTTCCTGCCTTTCTATCGAAAGCTCTGGTTACTATGAAGAAAGAAGCCTGCAGAATCGATCGTATTCGCTGCTCTCAGACAAGAAAGAGAGAGAGCGTTTGTCACGACTTCTTCTGCCGTTGACCTGGGGGGTGTGAGACTATCAGGAAATGCACATGATCCGAGGACTGAGTCTAGGTGTTGTTCGGTCAATCGTTTCCAATCACCATTGCCCTATAGCCGAGGGACGTTTAAACCCAGCAGCTTTTCACGTTTTTATGTATTTGGCGCCGTCTGCTTGAAACACTTTGTTTTGAACTTTGAATGTTATTTTTAATCGCTTTTTCAACCTCTTGGCCTTTGTATTGAACTGACTGTTAAAAGCAAGGGTTGGAATATCCATTATAGGGAAAAACCGACGTAGCCGCTGACCGCTACAGGGGATCCTTGCTGTAACGAGTGGTTTGTATAGCCATCTGAAGATCCTTGAAACGGTTATCGGTTTCTCCGCGGAAATAATTATTTTCAGGGATATCTTCCCGAACAGTGATTTGCCGTAGCGAGGCTGATTTTCGTATGCAGGAGCACCTGCAGTCAGCTTCCATTGAGGCTTACCGCAAACCCGGGTGACATCTTACATAAAGTCCCTTATTATTCGTTTTCTTACCTCTCCCAATGTTTTGTTATTCTTGGCCCGCAAAGTGGTGAATTTAACTTTCAACCTAGAATACCCCTAAGGTGCTGCCGACAATATACCCAGACCCAACATAATGATTCAAAGTCCCGCTACTAACATAATACCATAGGGTCCTATAAGTTCTAGCTACATGTAGTGGCATATATAGATAGGTAGCAATAACCACACGTTGTGATATGTGTATTGAATAGACCAATTTGTAGAGATAGGGATACCCCATGATCGCATGCGCCTACTTAGGAACTAGCTAGCATAGGAGTAGTACAAGCTGTAACACTAGGTGGAACAGTTCTAGTTGATATTTAATTCTAGGATCGTCGACCTGTCCTAGAAGTCTGTACACCTGCACACGCTACGAATATCACTCCTCAAAAGCTCTCTACTAATATACCGCAGTTCCTGGTTTGAGATCTGTACCATATTCCTCAGTTCGTTCGCCTTCCGCCTTCCCTAAGAGCTCGGCTTCGTCCGTTTATCTATTAATTGTAAAGAAAGCAATGCTCCGCATTTGCATTCTTTTTCAAACATGGGAATCATTCCAATAATACGTCCAAATATCCATCCCGAGGAAATCATCCTTATACTTCCTAGCCGCCCCATCATTTGCTGCACCCGCACACACCAGCAAAGGCATGAAATGATCGGCAGCACCTGGCGGATGCATCTCATAGCTATGAATGAAATTCCTCCACCCCTCAAGTGCTTTTGCCCTGTCTTGCCTTCTTTCCTTTGTCACCGCAGCTGTCAGCTCTGAATTCCATTCGCTGGCACTTTTGATCAACTTTGCAGGCGCCCTGGTATCGCTAATCATCAATGGAACCACTTTTCTATTGTTATGAATAGATGCGAAGCCAGAGCCCAAAATTGCAATGTTGGAGTCACGAAGTTTCGAAAGGGCTCGGCCCATTCGGAGATGCTCAGCCGGGTCTTCAGACGCGAGGATGGATAACTGAATGATGGGTATGTCCTCGGCCGGATTGATAAGCATCATGGGGATGAAAACACCGTGATCCCAACCTACCGTAGTCCACTTGTTAGTTTATCATTGATGCTCTCTGCTTCGCTGGGCAGCTGGCAGTCTCAGAAGTGGTTTTAGGACACGGCATCCTAACTCACCTCGTTTCCTATTAAGAATAGGTGTAAAACCTTCCTCAGTAAGAACCTTCTTGATATCTTCCGCGATGGCAGGCGACCCCATAGCATTGTACTTCAGGCTGTAAGCTTCACTTGGGAGACCGCCATAATCATAGTAGAGGTCATGGTGGCTCGCGGATGAAATGGTAGGTTGATGTTCGGACCAGTGGGCCGTCACGCAAACGATGCCTCGCGGGGCCTCCGGCGTACCAATCTTGAGGATCTTAGGGACTCGGTTTTTTAGGGAATGAATGATGTCTCTATGACCCGGTCCACCGATTACAGGAAGGGGTCCTGTACAAAGATAATTAATTAGTTCGCCTGTTTTGCTCGTTTTGTCTGACACAGCGAATTGAAGGCTTACCTCCTCCATGTGATATACAGACCACTGAGGCGCGTACCATGGTAAATGCTGAGTTATCGAATGGGAGATGGAAAGATGGTCGTTCGTGTTTGCTCATAGAACCCCCGGGGATAGAGCTTCGGATGTTCCTTCCCTTAAATAGGCCGGGTCTAGGATTTCAATACAGCTAAGCGGTATAATATACTCCCATATTTTGCTTTGTCGGTCGACCTATTGGTCCGCTTTGGAGTCGTCTTATCCAGTGACGGCGATGGAAGTCTTTCCATCCATTTGTCCACCCCCATCAATTCCATGCCGCGCGCTATGTATTAAATACATTGGATGAGCTAGTGTAACAAGCTAAACAACATCTGAGAGAGGCGGGCGGGAATGGAAAAGACATTCTCCTTACTAGTGACGGTCTAACTCTAATGTACGACTAGTGTGCAGGGGATGGACCTGTTTCCCGCTTAGTCATGCCGCGCGGTACCCGAACGGGGCCCTACCCTTTTCTTAGTCAAACCACGCATCTATCAATCATTCGCTCAATGTCCCATGCAGAACCAAGTGCTGATATTGTATATTCTAACATCAACTGTGCGCATTCTGAGGATTGAGTAATCTTAAATAAGATTTTTGCGCATTGTGTCTAGTGTGACCACAATGAAGAGCTATAGCGGCTGCTGGACGTGCCGTTTACGGCGCAAGAAGTGCGATGAGATGCGGCCGGAGTGCAGAATCTGCTCATCATTGCAAATAACCTGCTACTATGGCCATGAGAAACCAGCATGGATGGATGGGGGCGCTGGGCAAATGGCAAAGGCCGAGGAAGTCAAGGAAGAGGTCAAGAGAGCTGCCGCGCGCCGCCGCCGCGGGGCCCAGTCGATGGATGCCCTGGAAACAAATGTGGCTCCCGCACAGGCGGAAGGTAATGCCACCCCATTCTCTGACACGGAGGTGGACATGCTGAGACTGCCCAGCCAGCCAAGAGACCCAGCATCACGTATGCACGTTGGCGGTGACCCCTCTTCATGCTCAAGTCCTACTCATCCTTCGCTTGCATATACATGGTCTGACGGTGGGTCAGCCTCGATAAGCCATTTCAATGCCAGCCATAACTCTGCTGGGACTACACCTAGCTACAATGGGCTGGGTACGCTGTTTGCAGATAGCTCGGGTGGTCAAGCATCCGCGGACGAAGAGATTGACCGGCGCTTTATCGTGTTCTACTTCGACCATTTCTTCCCCTTCTTGTTCCCCTTTTACAGGCCCCCGCTGCTTGAAGGCGGGCGTTCCTGGGTCATGGAGCTCGCTGTGCGCAATAAGGCCATGTGGCACACGACTCTTTGCCTTAGCTCGTACTTCATGTCTGTCGCCTTGGACAATACCGCCTCCGGTCATGAGTTTTGTAAGACGCTCGCCTGGGAAAGACTTCTGAGACAAACGGATGTGACTTTCAGGATGCTTCAGCGAGACCTCGAAGGGGTTACCTCCAGTGCTGCGCAAGATCTAATAATCGAGACTTCCCGAATTATGGGTAGCGTTATCCAGCTACTGAAATTTGAGGTCAGTGCTGGTAACTTTGAGAACTGCCAGACGCATCTTGATGCAGCCATTGTCCTCTTCACGCAAATATTCCGAGCTGCAGGTTATGATGCCAATGATGGCAATGAGGACGGAGAATCACCTACGTTTCATGATATTCTGAGCCAGATGGGAGATCCACCTTGGACTATGGAGCTGCAGCAGAGGAGGGCTTGGAATTCCGACCAGGCAGCTTTCCGTTTCTTCTCTGTGCTGCTACTCCTGGACGATATCGTCACCAGCACGTGCCTTGAGGAGCCGCCGAGGCTACAAAATTATCACGCTTTATTGCTGTCAACCAACGGTTCTGACGGGAATGCTTCTCTCAGTTTGGAAACATTCGTCGGCTGCGAGAGCTGGGTGATACTACAGGTTGGCCAGATAGCCGCGCTCGACGCATGGAAGAAGTCACTCAGAAAGACTGGGCAGCTCGACACGATGGAACTGGTCGCGCGCGCAGTGGAAATCAAGCAGACCCTGGTCGAAAACCTCGCCTCCCTTGACGTCGCAGCACACGCACCCAGAACTCCCAACCCGGTTGACATGTTCATGCTCTACAACAACCACGCGCTATCCACACTGGGAGACAGTAGCACCGTAGTTACACGGATCTGGGCACACGCAGCACTGATCTATCTTTCCGTCGTAGTGTCTGGGTGGCAGCCTGGCAGCTCCACCATTAGGGAGAACGTGGCACGGGCAATAGAGCTCCTTTCCCGGCTACCAGCGCCTGCGCTGCTGCGTACTGTGGTGTGGCCATTCTGCATAGTTGGATGTCTCGCGAATCCTGATGAGGAGTGTCTCCTGCGCTCAATGGTCCAGGCCCTGGCCCCACTGCGGCTGTTTGGTGCGACCCAGAAGGCGCTGGAGATAATGGAGAATGTGTGGAAGCGTAGGGATGCCATCGATGTCAACACTTGGGACTTTGCAGCGTGCGTCCGCACTCTCGGCTATGTGCCACTGCTGGTATAAGCGGTTGTCTTAAGCATGTGTACTTTAACTGCCGCGCGGTGCCGCCCTAACACCTACAAAGTGGGCTCTTGCCTAAAGTGACCTGACAGACCCACAACCCGCGCGGGATCAACAAAAGCTGAGTGAATCTTGTTATTGTGCCATCGAATCGTTACAGAACTAATGATCCCGTACAACAAAAAATTAGAACACTACTCATGATTTACCAGTTTTTCTTTTGGCGCTTGTAGCTATAAATCACGGAATCCCCCAGGAACAGTACCAAACAAATCCAACTCACTTGTATTTGATATCCATCTACCACAAAATGTCTACGCACCCTGTGATCCTCATTCTCGGCTCCGGGCCCAGAGTCGGTGCCGCGGTAGCTAAACAGTTTGCCAGCACCGGTTACTCTGTAGCTGTCGCTTCCAGAAGTGCCTCAACCGGGAAAACCACCGAGGGCTATCTGTCCATCAAGGCAGACCTCTCCAACCCTTCATCAATCTCGGCAGTCTTTGAGGCAGTTAAGGCTGAGTTTCAAAGCCCGCCTAGTGTCGTGGTATACAACGCCGCAGCCCTGACACCACCCGCAGACGATTCCCTCTTCTCCATCCCAGCAGATAGCGTTGCTGCTGATCTCAATGTCAACACCGTGTCTGCCTATGCGGCCGCCCAAGAGGCTGTGAAGGGGTGGGAAAGTCTCCCACAGGACACGAAGAAGCTGTTCATCTTCACGGGCAATATGCTAAACAAGGCCGTCATTCCGATGCCCATGATGCTGAACTTGGGGATTGGTAAATCCGCCTCTGCGTATTGGATTGGCACGGCGGATATACTTTACTCTGGTCATGGCTACCGGTGGGTTGATTCCTGGTCTATTATTGATGTTCTTGCTAACGTCTTTCAATAGCTTTATCTATGCCGATGAGCGCAATGCCGATGGTAGCATGAAGGGCATGAGCCTTGATGGCGAGGCACACGCCCAATTCTTCGCCGATATCGCCAGCGGAAAGGAAGAAGTGCCGTGGCATGCAACTTTTGTCAAAGGAAAGGGCTATGTCACGTTCTAAGGAGTAGTCTTTCCCCCAACGGCACTATCATGGATAATCCAGATCTCGAGAAAGGTGGACACCAAGCTTACCGCTGGTACGTGATTGATTTGGTGTAAAATCCAATTTATGTATACATTTTCTATATAGCTTTCGATCTCCCTGGAGCTCGATTATTTTTAACCCCGAGTATCAACTCCTTCAGCCAAGATACCTCAACGTGTCTGCCGCACATATAGCCTTTGTTTTTCTCTATCAATCAATTCACCACACGTTGGCTCCACCCGATCTTATTAGCCACTATGCATATCGCACTTCCCCCATCTTACTGACCACGCGGAAGACTTGTTTCTGGAATATTCCCGGTTCTATACATCTTATCCTACAAAACTAGGTGGTATCCAAAGTCCCTTCCGTCTGACAAACCCTGTCCCTGCCACAGAGCTTATCCCCCCATCGCAAATCCTCGCTTCCTAGGGACCACCCATTATGAGCGCTCTCTTCCGAGTCCAGAAGATTATAAGGTTATATATATATAAATGTGTTTTGTGTAGAACATACCCTTTTTTACCGGCTTCGTATATACCTAAAAAAGAGCATCTAAGAGAGCATCTAAAAAGACCATCCAAAAGATATGACAAGGCCGTATAAGCGATGGACTTTTCTTGTTAATAATAAACTTATAATCTATACCCATAGTACGAATTTCACTTGTACTAAGATCGAATGGGATAGGATATATCTCCCTTTTACTCCTTAGGGCACTTTTTTATTCTTCCTAGAGAAGCAGAGTCATTCTATATCCTTTAATATTACCCATCCAAATCTCCTCAGCAATGATCTTTTAGATAAAGAAGCCGAGGAATCATATGGGTCCCTAGGGCTGAGTATATAGGCGCGAGCAAGACGGTAAAATATGCGGTAAACAAATTAGGTGGGTTGGCACGATGGGGTCTAAAACCTGCTGTAGCCAACGAAGAATTTCCTGTTGTTCAATCCCGCGACCGCGTAAACTGCTTTTGTATTCTACTATAATAAATACTTCGAGAAACAGTATAGTTGATTCCGATATGGATGAAGTAGACAGAGAAAATAAGAAGGGGAAGAAAGAGAGAGAGCTGTCTAGTTATATACAAGGACCCAGCAGATAGTTAACTTAGTTAACTAGACATGATGAGCCTACTTCTGTAGGCTAAGAGGCAAATATGCCATTGTGGAAAACCCTCCTAGGCCCTGTCGCATTCAACTTCATGGCTCGAGCGTTCCACCCACAGCAAAAACCCCAGCCGTGGCAGCTTCAATATCTTGATCCCCTGATCCACCACAGGCACCGATGGCGGCAAAGAACGTGCCATTGATGAACAGCGGCACCGCGCCCGGAATAGGTAACATCCCGCCGTTGGTGTGCTCGATGCCATAATCTTCACGCCCCGGCTGGACCAGGGGTTGCAGCTCGCCAGAGGTCAACGCTCCGTTGAAAAGGCTAACCGTGCTGGTCTTTTTGATACAGGTGTCGACGCTCTCGATGAACGCATTGTCCATGCGCAGAACGGCGATTGGAAAGCCATAGGGGTCTGCGACGACGATGGTGGACGGAGCACTATCGAGTTAAGGTAAATGTCAACATAGGCCTGTTATGATTCATTAAGGTATGGGTTGCATGTACTTGTTCGTGGCTGCCTTGACAGATGCAGCCTCGACAGCTATTAATGCTTGCTCTGCGTTAAGCACAAATCGCTCGTTGGGAGGTTTCATAGGATTATTGATGAGGGCAAAGGTAGATCCCGGGAGAAGTGCAGCTGCAAGTGCTACAGCTAGTGACCTGGCGTTCTTCATGGTAATAGCACAGAAAGGGACCTCTTTGATAAGGATGACGATTACAGGTAAGGAGCCTGAGTGTTGATATAAGGAAAGAATAATGATGGCGTGGTAACAGATATTTATACTCTCTTTTTGGGTCATATAAAGTGAGTTCTTTGCGGACTTCTCGAAACGCTTTGTAATTAATTCTTGCATCTACCAGCGGACCCAGTCACAATTCCCCGTGTTCCACTAGGACCTTCCCAAAAAGAAATTCAAGCATAATCGATGGCCAGCTGCATCAGCCTATTGATGACGGTGAGTTCAGAAAGTCTGGGCGCCTACAGCTTGGCAACTGTATACATCCCGCGCGGCATGTATTTGGCGATCGCGCCGCTCCCCCACTAACAGCGCGCGGTCCATGAATAATCCTTTGAAAGGAATCGACCTGATGTTATTAACTAAAGTTTTCTGGTGGGCCGAGTTCAGAATATGGAGCACAATGTAAGCTAAAGTCGAGAGTGCCAATAAATTTATCTACAAGGCATGTCTTAATTAGTAACAGAACATGAGACAAAGACCAGAGTAGAAAGAACAGCATCTCATTAGTCGAATTTTGTCGCACAGGATGCATAGCTAACGGATAGCCTGGGTAGAAGGACTGTTATTACCAAGCCTCTCGCTCATGCAAAAATAAGGCCTGGCCACAGCCCATACTTGAGCGCGTAAGAAGAGTCCAATTTCTCACCCATCTTCCGAGAAAATCCTTCAACCCTCGTTGGGGAATATCAAAGTCCTAAGACTAAATATATACATATAGTCTTTGCTTTTGCACCGTCACGATAGTGCTAGTGTACTAGTGGTAGAATAGCTGTGGTGGTCTTAGTCATAAAGACTTAGTAGGTACCTAGGTACCAGGTAGGTAACTAGAGCAGGTGACCTGGGGATCTGGGGCATTATTCTGACTGCGGACTTCTAATGTGTGCATACACTGGGTTTCAAATTTCTTATATTCTCCCGCACAACACCCACACAATCGCCGCCTTATAGGTACGAATCACCTCCTACGAGCTGCATACTGAAATTGCATCAAAAGCATAAGCTTGCTGTTCGGCACAATAGCAGGAGGGCGCTCGTAAAGGAAAGGCCACATATGCTCTACCGACATGCTCATGCCTGCGTAGAAATGAGTGTCCATGAAAAATGCCATGTCCATTTTCATCCAGTCAACATCCGAGCATCCTTCAATAGCCTCCACCTTATTCTGCGGCTGTTCGGGATTTTCTTGTGAGACAACGCTGAGATTGCCAGAGCTGTCTCCGTTCGACGAAAAGCCATCGATAAAGTTGGCATGGCCTGAACTTTCAGAACTACAGCTGCACAATGCATCCTCGTCGATTTCAAAGAAGAATCGGTATCTTGCAACGGGCTCATTGTCATATAGGAGCTTCCGATCAGCGTGTGGGTTCTCAGCTGAGAAGCTATCAGCCACCCATTCTTGGAAGTGGGCCCGTAGATCCTCCTTGGAAGCTCCGTCAAACTTTTCCTTGTCCTCGATGAAGATAAATTTGAGTTTGTCGAACATGGCTTCATTAATTTCTGATCGGGGGTCGAGGTTGATGATTGAGCGCACTGAAATGTCGACCTTTTGCTTAAAAATGTCCCAGGCTTCGTCGTCTTTGTATGTGGTCCGGTAGAAAACCCAGCCCCATTTTTCGATTTTTCGATCTTTAAGCTCGTAGAGTATGACTTCCGATGAAATCCATTTATTTCTCAGAGGAGGCGAGGAATGAAAGCTTTGCCGTTGTGTTGAAGGCAGAGGAAACTTGGGGAGCCCTGATCTGCTTTGGAATGAAGCAGCGCTTGGATTGGAGGATACAGAAAAAAATGGGCGAGCGGGAAGTAGATGAGCAGGCAAAAGCCTAGTAATAAACCCTCTCATTGCCATTGAGTATAGAATCCTGTGATTATTTCCGTAGTTGGAATGCGGCTGATGGAAATATAGGGGATATACAGTACTGCCTGAAACGGGAACTGCCACGGTGTCGGCCCCCTGGGGCCGGATTTTCATCCGCTAGTCCACATCGGATCTAGTAAAGGCTTGATCGGGACATGTTGAGCTATACGGAGTAATAGACACACTATTGATTACGCAAAAAGTGACGATTCTGAGATCAAATCGGAAGACAACATGTAGAGTGGTGAGCGTGAGTTCGAGGACTTGCTCTGAATATTTTTTATTTCGCAAGTGATCAAAACAGGAACCATTCGATGAAAACTCAAAAACGGAGTCCAATTATTTAAAAGGCACCCAAGCTCAAAAGGAGGATTTGATATTTCAAGGACAAGCATCAAGCTGAGAAGTGTTTGTATCCTATATCTTTGACAAAGGTCTGTTGCCAAGGACCCTGGAACTTGTGCTCAGCAAGCTCTGCATAAAATCTCCCATGTGCTTCCCCATTGACTCCAGAGTATGCAGGGGCTCCATCGGCATATCGCTCATCTGCATAATAGAATCTGTCTTGCGTTAATCTCGAAACCGTTGTAGCGAAAGAAGGAAACACTTACTTGAAGCCTCGATCAGAGTAAGCGGCAGCAGCAGAGCGGATGATATGGGCCGTTGCGGATTTACCCACACCAAGATCTAGAAGGTTTGCAATAGGGGTCAAATTGAGTATATTACCAGTGTAAATGAATGTCTTGGACCGGTTGTCAGGGAGTTGCTCGAAACTTAAAGCCGCCTGTTGTGCAGCGACAAACGCACTGGTCGTGTTGATCTGAAGGTCTCGATTGAAGTCAGCCAATGGAAGAGACAAAGGGTTGGCTGGATCGTTTGAAGTCGTCGCAGCAGCTTCCAGGATGTCAGCAGGTTTTTCAGTAAATGGTTCCCATGAGGAACATGCTTACCATTGTAAACAACAACACTTGGAAGACCAAGGGATGCTTTGACTTTCGAAAATATGTCCTTTACGGACTGAGGATCGGACAGATCGGCGGAAATGCAGACTCGGTCCTTGTTGCTATCTTCTTCTTTGAGGCTTCTTGATGCAAGGGCAACTTTGTAGCCCTTTCCAGCAAAGGCCCGAGCCACATGGTGACCGACATTGGGACCAGATCCAAGAATAAGAATAACAGGAGAAGTGTTTGCCATACTTGAGTTTGTATGAATTGATAAAAGAAAACTAATATTCAGGAAGACAAGAGTCTCCTTATATGAGCTTCAATGATCAAACAGCAGCTCCCTGTGTATTATCGATCCGAATGTTTGCTACCTAGTTTCCTTGAACTTTGTCATGATCCGCTTTTGGATCTGACCCTGTGTCCGAGCGAATTAGTTGTGTTTGCATCATATGCAGGTAGTATGTGGTGCGTATGTCGATACCTCTATAGAATATAAGGGCCAATCAACGCCGATGACAAATTGCAGGAGATCACCTGGGCATAAATCTACCCGAACCCCCGAGGCTTGCTAATCCTTCCGGTTCACCTGGGTATCGTAAGCGCTTTCGGCTCGGCGACTAATGACGTAAATAATCGGGTTGCTATCCTCCCTTTTTACCAGGGTTGAGGCCTTCCTACATAAATTATGCTGTAGATAGTTGCAGTTGCTATACTGAGGAAATATCTTGTTAGCATTATTTTTCATCAATCACTACACAGCTATGCCCTCGAATATTTTAGTCAGTGGTGCCGCCGGCTACATGTCAGGTTTACCTTACGGGAGTAACTATACACATCTGACCTTTTTTTTATATATAGAGGAGGTTCCATAGTCGCAGACTTTCTAGCAAGAAAGACCATATCAACTGATGTGGATCGGCTTATTGCTGCGGTTAGGTCTGAAGATCAAGCTAATTCCTTATCGAATTTGGGCGTCCGCGTTATTCAGTTGGATTTGACGGACGAAGATGCTGTGGTAAAAAGCGTGCTATCCCATAACAGTATGAACCCTTCTCCAACTGTCTTCATGCCCGAGAATAAGTCACCAATAGCTCCCTAGTCAGCATCGTTATTCACACGGCAAGCTCTATAAATCCAACTCTAGCGCTACACTTGATCACCGCGTTGAGCAAGCAAGGTGAAGTGAGTGGGGAAAAAACATATTTCATCCACGTAAGTACTATGTATCTTGCTTTCCATACGGCGATTGAATAAATCGAATAACCCGGAGATAGACCTCGGGATTAGGTGCGTTCTTCGAAAATACCGGTTGGCCGGCAGGACCATTTAAAGACACAGATGCCGTGTTCGATACTGAGAAGGGATTGGCCGACTCCTCCCCTCTCCGAAAGGTACGCGATTAATCTGACCTCATGGAGAATATTCTGAGAAACATTGGTTCTCACACCGGATAGACTGACGTGGCTGTTATCGAGCATGCCGAAAAACGAGGAGTAGGCTGTTTTGTTGTTGTACCTTCCCTAGTTTGTGAGTATCACAGGTCAAACAATAATATTGACCCCAGAAAAGGCCAAGGCTGACAATTCTTCTCAGATGGGAAGGGAAGTGGCGAATGGAATAAGCTGTCCGTAGTGCTACCCGTCTACGTCAAGGCAAGCATCTCGGGTCGGGCTGTTTATAAATTCCCCGAAGACACGGTAGGAGATGAAATTTTACGGAGGCTCTCAAATTTTTCATACGATTGGCTAACAAATATTACAGAAAGTCTCAAGCGTGCACATCTCTGATTTGACTGCACTATACGGACGGATTATCGAGAATATCCTCCATGGAGAGCCGCTTCCAACTGGCAGAGAAGGATATTACTTTGCACTGGCCCATTATCTCCATTTGGGAGAAGTCCTAGACCACTTAGCTATACAGCTAAAGGCTCGTGATTTGATAACAGATTCAAAGACAAAGATATATCTCAATGATGAGGCTGCTGCAAGCTCACTAGGCATTCCGGTGCCATTTGTGCGACCCTTGTGGAATTCAGGGTAGGTGTTGCATCCATCCCATGTTGAAGCATATTTATCTGATCCGGCATACAGCGATAACATCATCGCCGAAATTCCGCACAAGATCGGGTGGAGACCAACGTGGAATAAGGATCGATTTCTCCAAAACATCGATGACGAGATCCAAGCCGTAGTAGAGCATAGAAAGGCGAAGAGCAGTCTTATTGATTCTTTGTTTGAATTCGCTGCAGAGTAACAGGGTCCGTCCTGAGTGACCTTCTTTGTTCTTTGGCTGCTTTCAACTTGTCAAGATATAAATGAAAAATGTGAAAAGGATACTATGACCGTGTAAGTTTCAAGAATAGCTCCTCAAGGCAATACAGCAACATTTGACCCAGGTGCATTCATTTCGATCAAGGACGTTTTATCATATCCTTTATAGGGTGTGCTAAAGTTATCCTTTTGTTGTAATTGGTGGTCACCTCGTACTCCCACATATTTCTTATGTTTTGCGGACCCCTTTCCATCGCTAGGCTGGCAGTTGGCCATTTTCCAAACCCCCCAAGAACAAAGAAGCGCTTCCACTCGGGTGAAAGCTAGCCAAGTGACTTTTCGTGACTAGACACCCTCTTTCAATACACCTTTGACCCCCGGCCCGAAATTGCTCAAGTTTATGGGGTTTTCCCTCTCTTTGGTCCAACGCGCAAGCCTTTTCAGCCAGGCTGGCACTAGCTTAATAAATTGCACTAGGTTCTCCAGGGCTACCTCGACAGATGACTTTCAGGCCATTGCCATCATTCCTGTCTTCTTTGCAATCCCATCAACGCATGGCTCGGACAGAGTGCATCCCTTCTTCCAGATTCGGATTAACCATTGTCAGTTATATCCACTTCATCTCTTTTACGGCGTCTAAGCTCATCTAACTAACTATCGCAGTATCCCAACCAGCCTTCAGAATGGCGGAACTCCCTACACGGCTGGATGACCTCCATACTACCATCGAAAATTTAATGCGCATTGGTGGCCAGGGCTGTCACTTGCAGTCATGTCGAGCGAGAAAGCGGTTTACGAAACATCCTAGGGATAACAAAAACGGAAGTGTCTATAGCACGATGAAAGCGTATAAATAGGAACATTTATCCGAAAGCTATATTTCAAAGAACGTATCTAAAGTTTGGGTTCTGTCAACTGGTTAGTAAAGCGACCACAGAAAAGAATAAACGATAGTCACTAACCTCGAAATCGGTCAGATCTGCCCCAGCGCTCTGATCAATAGATGATTCAATCTGTCCCACAGCAGCAGCCGCGGCATCTCGCTGCTTGTTTCTACGAGCCAGCAAAAACCGCAGCAAAACAGCCAAAGCTGCTTGCGCAGACGAGCATGCCAAAATGAGCTTGACTCCAGTCTGGTATATGGGCGCTTCTTTTGCCAGAAACGCGTGGGGTCCAATGATATTGCCAGCACAGTATGCGAAAAACACGAAGGCAACACTGGTTGTACGTTTTGTATAACCACCCAGGTTTGTCGCCGGCATCTGTAAAGCCAATACCAAAGAGCAGACGTAGGCACCAACGATATAATAACCAAACAACACGCCGACCTTGTGCGTATTATGATCCAACTTCCATAGGAGGCTCGCACCGAGTATAGTTGGCATCAAGTAAATGAACATGACGACAGTTCGGAAGTTTTTGATTCGCGATGCGAGATATGTTCCTCCTAAAACATAGAAGATCTGGAATCCTCCAAAAGGGATACCCAAAGCGACGGCAGTGGCCGAGTCATCGGTCAACCCCTTGATAATTAATTTGCCGAAGCTCGCGATCCCACCGTTCACAACCTCGTTCAAAAGAGTGAACAGGAACAAGATCCAAACTTGTGGATCTATCAAGGCTTCACGGATCTGATACCATTTTATCTTGTGATTGATGATACCGGTCTGACCGAGTCGACCGCGGCCAATGAGGAGGGCCTTTTCGTCCAGGGTGAAACGCTTGGATGAGACAACGTCATCCGGGAGGAAGAGAAGCATGACAACTCCCCATATGAGGGTAATGCCGCCCAGAATGAGATAGATAGCTCTCCATACGGCAATGGTGTCGATTTGTCCAATTCCATAGGTTAGAATGCCACCCACCATAGCCCCCAGTCCGTTACAGCTGTAGAACACACCAGCACGGAAAGGTTGTTGAGCACGTGTGTACCACATTCCGATCATCAGCATGAAGCAAGGTGTGATAGGGGCTTCAAAGACTCCCAAAAGGAAGCGGCAGATAGCCATTCCGGTAAAGGAGGAGCAGGCGGCAGTAATCATGAGCATCGCTCCCCAGGCAATAATGTTTCCAGAAACAACTTTGGCAAGCTTTGTTTTCTGTGCGAGGATATTCCATGGGTATTCGGCAACGAGATATGCGAAATAAAAGATACTGGCAAGCCAGCTGTATTGGTTGCTTGACATATGCGTGGAAGAGAGAAGGTCGAACACCGCAGAGTAGGCAAGTGCCGATTTATCGATATATTGAAGCATATATGTCCCGGAAAGCAAAGGTAACAAAACAAGATCTACCTTCCGCACCAGCGCCTTGTTGCGTGGCTCGTCATCCAGAAGTGCTTGGATGGCCTCTCGATTGAATCCATTTTGACGAAGGAAGACCTCTCCTTCATCGAGATCCGTTATAGTACCAATTTGTACATCTTTCTCATTGATGATATCGTCCACGGGTGTTTTCTTGTCGATCTCCATTTTGAAAATCCTATGAGTAATAGTGGATAGTAAACCAAAAGATGGAAATGGTCCCCATATAGGGAATCAGATACCCCTCAAAGCCTTTTAAGACATTTTCCCGTTATCTTTAGGGTTTAACTCCACCAAGATAGGTGCCGTCCCCGCACGGTATAGCTTTCCGAGGACTTTGAGCGGACAGATAGCGATGTCCACGCTATACTTACGCTATAGTTATCTTACTCCCGGCTCCACCAAGATAGTCTCCCCCGCACGGTAGAACTTCGGCGCTACTTTTGAGCGCCGGAAAGATAGCGACCGTCACGGTGCTATATCTTATTCCCGACCCCCAACTTTTATCTTGGTTTCCCTTGATTTGCCATTGAACCGTGATAAGTTGATTGATCATGACTGTTGATACCAAACCTCCTTCCGTCACCCTGGTGCAAGGCCACGTGGTGGGGACCAAACTCAATGACTCTTTTCCCCAAGCCGTCGACGCCTTCTTGGGAGTCCCGTATGCCCTTCCTCCTGTAGGGGATCGACGTTTCAGACTAGCAGCCAAAGTTTCGAGCTCATCAGTTACCATTGATGCGTCCAAGTATGGCCCCGCGGCTCCCGGAAAAGCACTTCTCTCCGGAGGACCGAAACTCGTGCAAAGTGAAGACTGCTTGACGGCGAACATTTTTCGACCGGCTGGAAGCAAAAATACCGATAAGCTCCCTGTCGCAGTCTATATCCACGGTGGGGCTTTCAATCGAGGGGCCGCAACTATGCACAATACTGCCTCCATGGTGGCATGGTCAGAACAACCCTTCGTTGCTGTGAGCTTCGGTTATCGCATTGGAGCTCTTGGATTCCTGCCTTCGAGTCTGTCGCATAAGGAGGGGTTGTTGAATCTCGGATTGCGTGATCAGGTGCATTTGTTGGAGTGGGTCCAAGAGAACATCGCCAATTTTGGCGGTGATCCTGCCAACGTCACTTTGTTTGGTCTTTCTGCGGGGGCGCATTCAGTAATTCTCCCCAACTAAATTTTTCAAAGATCTTATTCTAACCAAAATCTAGATTGGTCATCACCTCCTCGATTACGATGAACATAAATCGCCATTGTTCCACCGTGTCATTATCGAGTCGGGAGCACCAACTTCCCGCGCGGTTCGCCCATATAACGCCAAGGTTCACGAGGACCAATTTGCAGACTTCCTCCAAGAAGTAGGTTGCCCACCCGATCTAGCTGAAGACGAGATATTCCCATTCCTACGTTCGCTCCCCAGCCTGACGGTTACAAATGCCCAAACGGCTGTTTTCGACAAGTACAACCCTTCCCTTCGGTGGGCATTCCAGCCCGTGATCGATGGGGACATTATTTCTCGCAAGCCCCTCGAGGCATGGGAGTCAAAAGTCTGGAATAAGGTACCCATCATGACCGGGTTCAATACCAACGAGGGAACAATGTACGTCGATAAGAAAATGTCGGAGCCCTCCCAGTTCCGCGAGTTCTGGCACAATCTTCTGCCCGAGCTCTCATCGTCTGATCTCGACACAATCGAAAAGCTCTATCCTGATCCCGCTGTCGATCCCACATCACCCTATGTTGAAACCAGAAAGGGCGAGGGTCTCGGACCTCAATATAAGCGTATTGAAGCTGCTTATGGACACTATGCGTATGTGGCACCAGTCCGCCAGACAGCGCAATTTGCATCATCCCAAGGTGCTCCGGTTTACCTTTATCACTGGGCTCTACCTAGAACAGTCGTTGGTCGAGCCAACCACGGCGATAACATGTACTACGAGACCTATAACAGTGCCATTACGGGGGTTTCAGAATCCCAGAAACAATTGTCTGGCACACTGCATGCCTACTTGACTAGTTTCATTACAACCGGTGATCCCAATGCTATATCTGGCCGATATGGACAAAGACCAGAGTGGAAGCCCTTCCAGCCGACGGATACAAAGATTATGATCTTTGGAGAGGGAAATGATGAATTGATTGGAGGTAACGTTGCTCCTCCCGCAAAATGTGTTGCGGATGATTGGGCGAGAAAGGAAACCGAATTTTGGTGGTCAAAGGTTCCCATTTCCCAGCTTGCTTGATTTATATAGAACAGAGACATTGCATGTATAGATCTCAGCCGCAAGGCCCAACTCAGTTATTCTCTTCTGATTGACCGTCTCCTTTTTTTGAAAGTCACCTCCTCCATGTCAACTGGAAGGAATCGGAACCTTCTATCGAGCTTTCCATTGCCCATTCCCCAGCAATTAACCTCGGAGTAATTTAATCATTTCGTAATCTATTAATTGGTGATTTAACCCCCTAATATTTCTTGGCCACCTGATTGGGACATGGAATATGACCGTTCTACCGTCAATAGCTCTATCTCAGGGTCTGGCTTGGATGGTATCGCAATCAATGTTGTCGAATCATTCCCGTTTCGCGATAGCATCACCCCTTCACTGTGCCTACTCAGTGAGCTTCTATACCGCCTTGAGCTATTTTGCCTAGCTCTATATCCTCCCCCAGTGAGTGATTCCCCTGTATGTGAGGGATTGTAAGAAGAAGATTTCTTGAGCGCCCCACTTGCTAATTTGTATAGAAAGGGGAGATTTGCACAAGCGATTCCACAAAGTGGCTCGTATATCGACAGAATTCCAAGTGGAACACCAGCCCCTATTTTTCTTTCCATCAGTATGTGAATATTGAATCGTGAGGACATTTTATTGGACATACAAGTGAAGTCTGACGACCCTTGTGAGACAACAACGGTTAAGCGGGCAAGAGTAACACCACATGTGCTACATAGGTCAGAATAAACTGTCACAGAGCGTAGAGGACAGCTTACAATAGACCAATGGCGAAAACACCTGTGACTTCCAATTTCTGCCTTCGATTAATGTGCAATCCGAAGATAATTGGTACTGGAAGAAGAAACACCCATATATCGGTGATCAGGTTCGTAATGTTGGTGAAGTAGGAGAATGCCACCAGATTTATGCAGGTCCCCTTAATATCCGAATTCCAAATGCTTTCGATGGGGATACACTCTAGCCCTAGGCCGATCTCCATGGCTGCGAGCCAGCAAAGAATAAAGACTGCGGTACCAATAACAACTCGACGAAAGACAACCGTGCTGAAAATGCGATAGTAAAGTCCAAGAATCGAAAGTTTAATGCTTGCGATAGCCCAGTCGTAGAAGTGGCTGAATATATAGTCGCCCTAAAAATCCAGAATGTTCAGTATGTAACCAAATATGGTGAATTTGTTGAATGTTACCCGCAAAAATCCCTCGACTTCATGGGTAGAGAGAGCAGCTTGGTGTCTACCAAAGCCATAGGGTGGACCTGTCAATACAGGTCAGCCTCAAGCCCAACAGTCCATTCAATAAATATCTTGTCATAAGAACCTACCATAAACCAAGCCACTTATGCATAACCCAACCGATATTGCCTGCAACAAGAAGCAGTATTAGAAAATCGGGTATCTCAACGAGGAAGGGAGTAAAATATAAAGATGCGAAAAGAAAAAATTAGCTCGGACCGTGGAAAGAGTAATCAAATAATCATCGAAGTTTATAGGATGTTTGGATGATGGTCGTAATACCACGAAAAGCCGGAGTCCGGTGAACAAAATCATGAATGGAATGGGAACCGCATAACATATGGTCACGGTTGTGACCCGCGACGCACTGAGATCGACTTTCCCTGCCATTGAGGTGTGAAATTTTATTGAAGGGGCGAGTCCATGGAGATGAAATCAGGGAAGTCAGTAATAGTGAAAAAATTAAGACGAAGGGGGAAGTGTTCCCAAAAGAACTCCAACCATTTGGGTGATATGCCCAGGTGCATATCTGCAGCCACCCAGGTGAGTACCGACGCCGGCATTGCTCCATTACTAGGGCTTACTAGGGCCTACTAGGGCTTACTTTGGCCCCCATGTTACATCCATGCATATTACTGGTACTCTGTCCCGAGTACACATTTGAACAATGAATATTTGATTTTGAATAGTGTAGGTAAAAGGTGATAGATCAATCAGAATGATCTACAATTGTTTAAAATAAACAAGATTTTATAGCCCTGAATGATATACCATTCCTACCTCTTGTTTATAATAATCCAATATGTACCTACCTATATACCCCCTTAAAAAAAGAATAGTGGGTCACACGTTTCGGCCCGCTTCCAAAGCTTGGAATATTACAGGACCCACTCCTACGGGCGACGAAGTATGCCATAAGATATTGCCAGCAGTATTTCGTCATCCACAGTCATTTGCAGGGTATAGAGTCAGGATGCTCTTTTTAAGTGTATACGAAGGCGGTAAAAAAGACTTTTCTATGAATGACCTTTGATACTTGACAATTGAACTGATTTGTATTCACTATAGGAGAATCAATTATATTAGCAATAGGCAGCAATAAGAAAGCAGCAAAATAATCAGGGAAAAGGTATAGAAATCGGAACCGGAATATGGACCTCGGGAATTAGTATACAAGCTTCGACGTGGCGGTGAAATGAGCGGTGAGGCACTATTCAATGAGAGAGTTAAGTCCCGATGGTACACTTAGTCGCCCGTACATTCCCGAGGTCGTACAGCTCGCTTACGGAGTACGGGTTACGCTAGCCCTGCAGGAACTGTACATAAGGGGCTCTGAGCATGTTCGCCAATCATTTTCTCAAAATAGAAGTACCCAGTTTCTTTCACCCTCTCCAATTCTCCGATCCCAACGACTGTGGAGGGTAGTTAGTATGGGTTTCGCAGCAGGAATAAGCAGTCTTGTTCTTCTGGCTCTCGCCGCCGCCCCAACTGGTCTGGCTGCTTCTGTCCAAACATCCAGCCCTGTGGTTGATTTGGGATACGCCACCTACCAGGGGTACTATAACAATACCTATGACCTCAATATCTTCAAAGGGTGAGAAAAATACCGCATTAGGCTTGCCGGATCATTCTGTTTTTTTACTCATTGGTTGAAGGATTCGATATGCGGCCCCTCCTGTCGGAAAGCTGCGATGGCAAGCGCCACAGGCTCCTCCGGTGAATAGGACTTCTATTCAATCTGCCATTGAACAGCCTCCACTTTGCCCGCAGTCTGGTGCTGCGAAGCTTCCAGAAATATACGGCTTCAATTCAGCCCTGGGCAATGAGGACTGCTTGTTCTTAAATTTGTATGCTCCGCCCGGGGCCAAAGATCTTCCTGTTCTCCTTTGGATCCGTAAGTCTATACAAGTCTAATATCAAAAGATTTGGCCCCAAAGAAAATATGTTCTAAGCGCTTATAGACGGAGGTGGATATGGGCTTTTCGGGGCCGAATATGACCCCAGTGAGTGGATCAACACAAACGATAATGGGTTCATTGCAGTTATGATTCAATACAGACTGGGAGCCTTTGGCTTCTTGTCATCAGAAGGCGTACACAAGCACGGGAAGACCAATGCAGGTCTGCTTGATATGCGTTTCGCGCTTGAATGGGTCCAGGAGCATATCGGAAAATTTGGTGGTGATTCCTCCCGCGTCACAATCGCTGGCGAATCTTCTGGGGCAGGCTCGGCTGTCCTACAATCAATGGCCTATGGTGGTCGTGAGGACCACTTATTCAATAACGTAAGTTACAATGCCATGACATTCGAGACAGTACAGCTAATTGAGATAGGTTATTGCCGCTAGCCCGTATACCACGGGCTTGTATCAGTACGATGGTGAAGTGCCGACAAATCACTATCAACATTTTGCCACACGAGCAGGGTGTTACCATGGGGGTAAAATATCCGAAGCAGCTGTATTTGACTGCCTTGTCAATGCTGACACCGATACTTTGCAATATGCCAGCGCAAATGTCTCTATTTCAGGAGCATGGGGTACTTGGGCTTTCCAGCCTGTGGTCGACGGCGACTTCATTCGGGAACTCCCATCAAAGCAGTTGCTAAAGAAGAAAGTGAGCGGCAAACGCGTTTTATCTGGTGTAAGTTCATTGTGCCAAATTCCCTTACCAACATGTAGTAATGTACTTTTTTATTCTAACTCCTCCAGAACAATGCCAATGAGGGCGTTCCACTTAGTTCGCCATTTGTGAACACAACTGCGGGCTTCCTGAGTTATGTCCGCTCTACTTTCCCATTGTTCTCCCGCGGTGATTATTCCCGCCTGTTAGATACCTACGGGTTCCGGGACAGCTCTCCTCAAAACAATGCCTCCCGATACGATACACTAGGTGATCGTGGTCCAACTGCTTTGAACCAATCAGAAATGGCAACTGGTCTTCAGCAGACCGTTTTTGACATATATGCCGAATCAGTCTTCGACTGTCCCTCATACTGGCTTGCGGATGCTTTCGCTGGAGGTCATACCAAGGAGAGTTGGAAATACCAGTACTCTGTCACCCCTGCATACCACGGAGCAGATTTGACCGCATACTTCTCTATTGGGGCAACTACGCCCACTCGCAGTTTGATCCATGCATTCCAGAAAATTTGGGGCAATTTCATCATCAATGATACTCCAGTCATCTCTATAGTTGACGCAAAGGGTGGTGCGGACAATTCTACCGTACCTGAGGGTGTGAATGGAGATATCTCCTGGCCAAGGTGGAACCGCAGCTCCCCTCTCTTAATGAACCTCAATACCACGGGTGGAACAATGATCTACGACAAAGTCACCGATCATCTCTCTTACTGGCTTCAAGAAGGACCTGGTGTCACAAATGATTTCAGCCTGGCAGATGCATCGAAGTGGGAAGGTGGCCGTGGCAAGCGCTGTGAATTCTGGAGAAGTGTTGGGCACCGTGTACCAGCATAAGCGATTTGGTGGCCTTTTTTATTCGAATTCAAGCTGAAAAAAGGTCTTTGAGTATTTATTCCAAGGCTTGGAAGTACAACCGTTCTGTATATACTATTGCATGGGTGGCTTGTCTTGAATGAATTTCCTGTTCTCTTGCAAATAAATGTGACTGCCTTTTGTAGATAGAGACTGTGATATGTATACCGAAATCTAAGATATCATGATTTTCCTAAACCCACTATTCATTCCTGTTACTGTCCCACTCTTCCATATAATCAGGACTGTTGCAAGGGTCCTCTTATAGTTCATATTGGTCCGGGATATTTTCAACCAAGATTCAAACAGCCATACTCTCGGGCATCTTTATGGTTCTATCATCTTGTAAACAGAATCTGTTCGACTTCCCATCAATAGGTGCCATAATCTAGTAGTGTAACGAGACATTATAGTGTCCAATTCTGTCTTAGTCCCAGTTAAAAGGGAAATATTTTTTGTGCATTTATCAAAGAAAGAGCAACCAAAAAAAGGAGAAACGGAAAAAGGGAGAGACCCTACCACATGTGACTGCCTCAGCTGAGCTTAGGCAGGAGTGATTATGATTGAATGCGTATATATTCAAGAGAACTGCCACCGGTCTAACTAGAAGTTAGGAATATCCATGCTTCTCAATCGTTCGTCACTTCCCCCAGAAGATCTTGTGGTATCGTTTCTAACTCCTGCCGCATAGGCATAATCCTCTTCTTTTCCACGAACCGCCTTTACGTAGCCCTTGAAATTATGAGACATGTTCACGACTTGGCGAAGATGGTCATCTGTCAACTCAGGAATAGGACTCCCTTCCTGCTTTGCCTGGAAGCATGCAAGAGCCACGGCAGTTTGGAATGCTTGGATAGTGTGAGTATCAATTCGAAAGAAAGTGAGATTGTTGCGTGCTACTTACCGTTTCGTATCTCGCGGCCGTTCCATTTAAGTGCCCGGAGATCTTCTGACTTCCGAACAAATTCTTTGGCATCGTATGAGCAACGAATCTCCCGGCCATCATTGTTGTGGTTTTTGGAGAGCTTCTTGAAATAACCGTCCCAGATTTGCTTCCTTGAATCCTCATCGAGTGGGTCATATCCAATCTGCACGTGGATTCGCGACATGACTGCTTCATCGAAACTTCCCACACGATTGGTCGTTAGGAAGAGGATACCCTGGAAGTAGTCTAGGGCACGCAGGAAAACTGGTGCAAGTAAATCTTGCTTAGCCGCTGTTTGCACTAGTGCACCACGCGAACTTACTAGAAACAATACTATTCCGTCGAAGATCCTGGGCAGACCGGGTTTCGAGATAAACATCCGCTTCATCAAGAAGAACGATTGCATTCCAATGTCTTGCATTTCTGAAGAAACGAAGCAGATTTCGTTCCAGTGGCACTGGTTCATGACCTAAATCTGCAGCAGTAATGTTAAGAAGAGGCCGACCTGTATACTCTGCAACAGACTCTGGTACCACGATGGTTAGTAATGGGTCACACCGAAATTCTCTTCAGTCTAGGAATTCTTAATACCAGCTGTGAGAGTCTTGCCTGTTCCTGGAGGACCATGAAGTAGCAAGATCTGTCCTTCTCCTTTGCCCTGGATAAAGTCCGAAGAGAAAGGCTGCCTGTACGTTCCACCAAATATCTCGCAGACGGCCTTGATCATTTGCTTGTTGCTTTCAGGTTTCAAGACCAGCGTGTCAATGATACCTTTATGTATCTTTGGGTCCTTCAGGCTAGATACTTCCAATACATCTATTTCCCATAATTAGCGGCGCACCAACGAGCAGAAAAATGTTAATCCCTACCCCAGACGCGGTCTTTCAAGACGTATGCATATACGTGCGACCAACAGAGTAGATATTGATGGTCCGTTAGGGTTGAAACTGAACTCAAATCAATATTATCATAGTCGTCGAAAATGCGACGTTGAATGCCGTGTTGGCGCAGACCGTTCGCTTGACATGTTTTGCATAGACATTTTGGCTCCTTTGTTCGTTGGCCCAGCTCAACATCGTAGACTTCTGCAATCGGAAAATGGGCATTTTTATCATCAACCATCTCTTTCAGTCTCCATGGTTGACTGGTGTGATCAACGACGACTCGCGTTTGGTTAAACTATATGGGTGTGAGTTTTGGAAAATGCCTAGTGGGTGTATATGCATCCCATATTTAACTCACGGTTCGATTGCCCTGCAGTCTGCTTGGGCCGCTGTACTCCTGGAATGTAGGTGTCTTCACCATATTGACAAATCTTTTCCCTCGCTCCACCAATTGCTGACGTAGAGGATTCTGCGGGTCCTCATCCACATGAAACTTGATGGGAAATAGAGGGAGAGAGGTAATCTCACGTTGCCCGTCAAAAATAGAAATGATGACTTCTTTAACGGAACGACTTAGAATTTGGCCGTCAAAGTTGAGATTCCAAACATTCACAATGTATGGCCGCGAACGAGCATTAGGGGAACCCCACGGCACTCCTCCCGAAAACGATTCGATGACATATGCATTCAGTTTTCCGTTCTCCTGAACAAAGACGTCTGTCCCAGGCTTTAACAAGAGCCAGAGAGAGCTGAAAGTCGTCTTTGGGACTTCGTTATTCCAGAGAAATTCAGCATCTCTCACTCCAATTGTTGTTAGGCTATCCAGATATTCAACCAAAATATCAATATGCTCTTGACATGTTGTGGTGTACTCGATGTCGTGAGTTTCACCCACTTCCTCTCGATACTGGAGCAGTCTCTCCCTGTAGTAATGAAGATCAGTGAAAGGATACGCGAACCGACCCTGCCCCAGATCACTTTCGATGTCTTGGACACGATATTCGACTCGGGGGATTTTGTCTGGGCGTGATTGGCAATCAATGATGGCATTGAGAGCATTGAGAAGAATTGGCGAATGGATGTAGAGTACTGGACTGCTAATTGTGTCGAACATGTCATCATCAGGGTCAGTAGCATATCTTTTGCTACAGTAGACCTCCCTGTGCTCCTCAATTACAGATTTGGGGATCTGAATGTCGGAAACCTTCGTAAAGATTGTCTTGTCGTTGAGTTGCTTCGTATCACGGCGTTGGTAATCACCATCGTTATCCGGGGCCAAATATGTTGCGACATAAGACACCTTACTCAATTCTTCGACCACCACGTCAGTTTCTTTGGCCTCTTCATTGACCTCTTTATTGGCCTTTTCTGCAGCTTCTTCCTCTTCTTCAGCCTTTTTTTTTCTGCGGATTGAGTAGAGCACATCGAATGTGAATTCAAGCTTGAATTCCCATCCGGGTGAAACCAAATTTTCCCAATTATTGGGCAGGATATTTGAGTGTTCGGGTTTAATTTTGATGATGGAAAATGTTTCGTCATGCTCATCGTCTTCATCCAGGTAATGCGCGAGCCATTCAGCGGCGTATGTCTCAAAGACTATTCTGACCAGTTTCTTGGTATCCTGCAAAGATTCAGCAGAGACAAACAGAAGAGCAAGCCCACATGACTTACGTCCCAAGTTTTAGAATTCTCGTATGGAAAGGTCCAACGCGTGCCAAAAGGATCAACAAAAACGATACTCGCTTGACTCTTCGTAGCAGCCGGGATTGCTGTGGCAACAATTCCGTCGACTTCAGTGTTGCTACAAGAGGCCTTGTCTGCACCATTCTCATCGGCCAAGGATGGCTCCGGCTTGATCTCAGTTGTACCCTTGAGATCCGGGGTCTCTATTGCGTTGGGAATCTCTGTCTGGCTCAGAATTTCCTGTGCTTTGACTACATTTGTAGCGCTCTGGCTCGCTTGTTGCCTAATCAGCTGATAAAGCTCTGCAGCGCTTTGCTTTTATTTTAACTTACCAGTCGTTCTATTAGCAACTGCACTGTCTACCGTTGTAGACTGCACCTCATGAGCTTCAAATTCAGAAGGGTGAGTGCTTGACTCTGTGAGAACTTCCATTTCTCTCAGCAGGTTCTGAAGAAGGGATAAAAAGAGGCTCTGAGAATTTTGGCAGTTTTTTGGATTGCAAAACCATGCGTCGCTCTCCAGGCACGGCTCGTATCTGGCTATTTATATCGACAGCGATATAAGACGCAATTTGGGGGCTGAAAATTCCTGATGTAAATTCCTATGGCATATTTCATTTGTCCATATTAGCAAAATGCACTGGATTGGCTCCGCTCTGCTTATTGCAGATAATGCATGTAAGCCCAACCACCCCCGCAAGTCTTTCTAGGTGGTCCAATTCCCGAACGAGTTCTTCAGAAAGAGCATATGTATGTATCTCGTGCCGACACGTGGACGCGGCTGGTCCCGAAAAGTATCACATTCTAGCAACAACTGCTAATCAGTCTATTTCGGCTTTGAACTTGATTTCACAATGCGAATGCAGCAAGATGTGATCACGGACTCGGCTGAAGCGGGGGTGTGGTCTTTTTTCCATGTCGAATCAGAAGTCATACTAGCCAAAGTGGGTCGAATGACACTTCAGCTAAGAAGTACCTTTGTATATATACCTCGACTAATGCATTGATTGGGGTTAGCATATCGCTGGACCTTTCCCGTCCGAATTTCAGGCCGGTCACGAGTGTGTAAACTGGCACTATTTTTCCGCTGATATTGCTTCTTTGGTGCACCACAAACAAACACTATGAATACAACGCAAGAGTTCTCACGGCCCGACTTGGTGCGTCGGTTCACTGCTGAACTCGAAGACGATTCAGATCTAGCTTCTCAGGTCAAGTCGTACCAAGGGAACTTGGACGCAGAGATCAATGCGCAGGAGAAACTGCGAATGGATCGTATTTATTATGGTCCAACGTCAATAGAGAGGTATGTCGGATGGGGTAAAAGAATATTGAGGAATCAATGGAGCTAGAGAGACTGACACTTCTCATCCAGTTCTTTTAAAGGACTCGAACTAGCCCGTCAAACACTCCAATCCAAATGCGATGAATTCTTCAAATCTTTGGATGAGAAGGTAGAAGCAGAAAAGAGCAAATCAGGATTCTCACGGCTCATGCATCGAAATGCGACCGAACAGAAACTGGCTAGTTACATCCGCCAACGAGGGGAGCTCACAGTGACTCAAGTCACGTCAATCGTCAATGAGGTCGAGACTCAATGGACAGAGTCAAACAGCAAGGTAAGTATAGCAGTGGAGGAGTGCAAACAGTCTCAACGGCTTAACTAAAAAAAATTATATTTTAGGCGGCGACGAATTTCGTTAAGATATGCCAAAAGTTTGACGCACATAAGCAAATCTTTCAATGTTTCCCAAGTCAAACCTCCTACACATCTGCTCTATGTGGTGCCATCACGATGGTCGTTCAGGTGAGAGTTTCAGATCAAATAAAAGAAGTTAGTCTTATTTGTGATTTAACAGGCTTCGGTTAATTACTCGACTATTGCGGAAAGGCTATCGGGCTATATAGCAGAGCTTTCGGAGAGCATCGCTGTTTGTACACAGTGGCTCGACCTTTATGACAACCCGGCCATGCAAGAGCGACTGTCCGATATCTATACGCAATACTTCCATTTCTTCATCAAGGTAGCCACCTGGTATATGAAACCAAAACCTTCCAAATGGCTCGATTCGTTCAACTCAAACTTTACGACGGGCTACGAAGACACGACAGAAACAATCAAACGGTCCATTCGACTCATCCGTGATCAGGCCTTAATCGAGAACGCATGGCAACTAAATAAGCTTGATCAGTCATTTATGTCCTTTGAAAAGAGGCTCGCTGCGTGGGTGAATGAGATTCGAAACGAGAAAAACGAGGCTGGGGGAACAATGGCAACCTTGATGCTGCAGATGACTGAACGCAGTACGCAAAGTCTCCTTATATCCAAACCCCATCTCGATGCCTCGCTAACAGTCCTGGGATATTTCCAGTTGGTCTATGGGAAGAACGCTTCGAACGCATGCAACTACAAGGCCAAGATAAGACTGGAAGAACAACAGCAAGAGGCACTGCATCGATAAAAGAAGCGGAAATCGCAGAAGTCGACGATGTTCCTCGGGGCCTCAGCAGGTCCGAGGCTAAATGGGTTTGTCAACACCTTCAGCCAAAGATTGATCAAATGGGAGGCTTTGATGGAATCAGACTCGCCCTCCAAACAGGACGGCTTATCGCTGAGCCTACCATTGTCCAAATCCTCGGGAATTGGGCACAAGCTACATCGGGCAATACTCTTAACCTTTGGATTATCAGCCCCTTCGAAACAGGCCCGCAAACCAGCGCCCAACTCGCTGCCCTTGGGGTTATTTGGACGGCAATCCGAGCTCGAGCCCAGTTTGTATCTTACATCTGCCAACGACCCCAGTACGGGAGTATCCCCGAGATTCGCAACATCGAAGACAAAGCTGGTGTTATGGCTATGGTTTACAGTTTAATCTGCCAGCTGCTGCAGTTCCAACCGCCTGATGACAGGGTGCACCTACAGCCGGAGATGCTTGATCGACTCACGCAGCCAGGGGAGCGTTGGACAACAGGCTTAACACTGCTTAAATACCTGCTGGAAAATACACCTACCCTGCGGTACTGCATCATCTCTGGAATCAACCTTCTCGAAGGAAGCGCACGGGACATGTGCCAGGAGTTTGTGGACTTACTCTTTGCACATTCCAGGAATGCGGATTGGCCAGTTCGAATTCTGTTCACTACATCTGGGCAGTCGAGAGCGCTTGATGGTACCGTGGACAAAGAAAGCAAGGTCATGTCTCACAGCACTTTTCATCAGATGAAGGGGAGGCTGATATATCGAGATGTCCAAATGTCCGGGTAGCAGCGCTGTATGATATTTCGAATTCCTGTATGACTGAATATACTACGACCAGCCCAATGCTAAGAGATACGCAGATGAGAAAAACGCCAGGATTTGGTTACTCTGGACACAATTTAACGCGATTAGACCTTAAAGCATATAATTAATTGTGCCTCAATTTAAACTTAGAAGGACAAATGTCAAAGATGAAGTAGAATCTTTTATATTAGGAAGATAAGAGAATTATATTCTAACTACTTTAGAAGTTTTTCCAAAATGACATAGCATACTATCACTTTTCTGACGGGCGTCAGAAAAGTGATGTCTAGAAGGCTTTGTATAATGAAGGGTGTCCCGCCGCCAAAAAAGGAAGCGGCAGTCCTGATCAGAAAATCCCAAAGAGGAAGGCACGAGGTCTATAAAAGGAGGCCTTCCCCCATTTTCTTCTTCGCTCCTTCATCGCTCTACCCACATCAGCCTTTTCGTTTATCACCCCCATCATCTTAACTACCTTTTCATTATCACAGACCCCTCTACGGCTTCAAGGATACGCTTCTGCATAGTGATCCTCTTGTAAGCTCCCTCACATATCACCATATCTCGGTTGACTCTTACCTTTATTACTCTCATCCTATACCTGCCTCCACCTCCACGGTATGTCAATCATGTTGATCGTCATTGACCTGACTTTAACTAATATACCTTCCCAGTCCCTTTCAACAATATTGGAATTTGACGTTAATCTCTTCCCCTTGGGGACTTGATGGTCTTTCCTATTCCCATTCACTGTGAGTGCGCAAACGCTTGCTCTTCGGTGGACCCGAAGTTCGTCGTCACCCCCCACCAGTCCTTAGGCTGACAGCAGAATCTTCTTCTCCGCTGTGTTTAGATTCTTGACTCCTCTTCTTCTTTTTCTTCTTCTTCTTCTTCTTCTTCTTCTTTCGTCGTCATCCTTTTTTGTCTCTCGACTCTCGTCTCTTGTGTCTCTTGTCTACGAAACGATTTTTCCCAATCCAAGAGCAAGTCGTCATGTCGACCCACGAAGACAGCATTTCGACAGCTGTGTTTTCTCCTGGTGATGCAGAAGCTTTACAAGAGTCAGGCCTAGCCAGTCCCCCCTGTTCTGATGGGACTCGACGCATTCACAAGCGAAGATTGAATCGATCCAGTGACGAAGAAGAAAATCATCTCCCGCTGACGCCTGTATCGATGGATGACAGCTCTGATTGTTTTGTCAGTATCCCTGAAGACCTCGTTTCATTCGCCGCGCTTCAATATCTCGGGTACAACCACCAGACCGCCACTCGCATCTGGGAACGATGGACCAATTGGCCCCCTGGAAGAATCAAGCGCCAATGTGATGATTTTGAAGACGGTATCCCGTTCATTGAATTCGCCGAGGGCTACCTTGATTCTGCGACCGATACTTGTGATGATGATGATTCCGCATGGTTCGACTGCCTTGACAAGTACGGTATGAGCACCGAGCTCACGCATGCAATCATGGATGCCAAGTTTCGACACATCCGGCTCACGCAATCATGCAAATTCTGGGTACAAGACACCCTCAAACTACGATACCGCGGACTCGAGGAGGTACAAGAGGCCTCTCGTGAACGTGAACGGGCAACTCAACGTGAAGCTTCACATCCTAGCACAAACAACCCCGGTCCTCCTGCAAAAAGATCCATCTCGGAATCGTTGAGATCGGCCCCATGGATGTCGCCAGAGACTGCTTTGTCTTCCTTTGCAACCGGTGCAGCAGCAAATAAGCCAGGGGAAACACAGTTGTACAAAGGAATGGACAAGGCGTGGATCAATGACCTCTTTCGCGGTGATGGTAGCCTTCACTTCGGATGCCTTACGTCTAGATCACCGGCTGATTTCTCGTCAAGAAAGGCTAGTATTTACTTCGCTGTTGATCGAGAAGTTGCTATGTGTTATGCCTGTTACGCCAAACGTCGTTCTGGGGTCAATGCCGTGGTGATTGTTCAAGCGACCATCCCGAACTCGGCCATTGAGTCCCTCACCCCACCAGACATCCAACACGTCTATTGGCCAAGTGTGGAATGGAAGTCACTTGTGCTCACTTGTCGTCAAGATCGCAAGCTCTCGTCCGAACTCCGCAAATTCAAGTTGGCCAAGCTTGTTATTGGATCCATCTGCAACAAACCAAGCATGGTCTTGGCTAATATGCAATCTCCCGACGAGATCACGGAAGGATTGGTCTATAAAACGCAAGATGGTCGTGTTGCTGTTCAGTATGTCTTCATAGGCGACGAGGGAGATGATTTGTTAGAACAATTCGCTAAAATTACCGTCTTCCCTTTGACGAGCCGGGAATTCGAGGCTTGGTATAACGACGTCTAGATGATTTCATGGAACCTTGATCATCTCCTTACTCTTGACGAAATTACTATTCTTTTGGGTTTTTTTTGTTTTTGTTTTTTTTGATGTGTTCCGAGCGTTTGCTTTCTTATTGCTATCGATTCGTTTCCTGTGGGGCTTCTGGCTAGTGACATTCGGATGGGATTGACACGAGCACATCCATGTATTCTTAGTTTCATTATTCTTAGCTTATCGACATCTTTTGCCCAGGGGCCTTTGTTCTTTGTAAAATTTGTATACAGAACTTTGTAGACGCTAGCATCGAGCACCCCTATCTAGTAATTCTTGATGCCTGGATACATGGATTCGGAAATGTAAAGGGAGGAAAGTCACCAATTTGAGATGGCTAGATAAAGCTACAGGAGCAAAATTGGCGTCAGAGGGGAGTTGTCTACAATCACTTCGTTTAACATAGAGGTCCGTACGGTGTTGGCGTAGCGATCGAATCTCTTTCGATGTTGATTTGGTCTTCCCAGTGTCTCCTGGGCATTCACGAGGCCCCCATTAAGGTCCATGGAGACTGTGAGTCGGGATGGGTTTCGAGCGTATGGCCCAGATCCTACTGCAGAGGTCTAGCCAGAGGTAACATAGGGACAAACCGAGGAACGCCTAGACTAAGGCAAGTGCGTTCTCAATAGACTCAAGAGCATATCTGTACGCTGCTACCATACTATTAGGCCTGGTGTCATCAACAGCAGAGAAGTTCTCTACCCTGTGAGGCCCATCTTTAAATAGTCGACACAACAGGAGTTATGTCATCGATATATATTTTCTACCCACAGTAAGAATGACACTTGGATGATTGTTCCCGACCACTTTTCGGCATGAAATACTGCGATATTAGGGACTTCCATTGTAATTACTCCTCTATCATCGCTCATTCTAACATATATGGCAGCGAATTCCTTCAAACCCTTCGGATCTTAAAACTACAGTTACTGCTTGTAAATAAAGATTAGTAGGTTATAGATTATTGAAATGATCGATTATCACAACAACAGCACTAATGGTGTAGTGGTAACATATAACACTTCCAAGTAGTCACCTGACTACTAAGTTATGTTGTGCCGGGGGTTCGATTCCCTCTTAGTGCATTTTTTTATATTTTTTTATATTTTTGTCTATTATCCCCACTATCATTAGAAGTAACTAACTATCACTGAAAGTTAGTTCATTTTGAACATGAAGCCTAAAATGTCAGTACAAAGTCAGAAATTTAGGAACAAGGTTTATTCCGAAAAGTATGTGCGGTTAAATGTAAACTATATCCTATATATATCAGGTCTAAGACTGACACAAATGAGTGGTCTTTAGTTCGTCCCTACAGGTGTATATACATAGTTATGTACGCATACACGTACAAGCTCCAATGTACAAGCGATCAGAGACAACGCCAAGGTAAACAGCCAAACTAAGTTGACAATGACATTTCGTATACGCCCAAGAACAAAAAATAAAAATAAAATAAAATAAGGCAAAAACCAAAGCAAGACCACCCCCGTGTTCGCGAAACGCCATGCCATGATATCTTGAGGACAAAAAATCGCGCATCAACTGTAGGGGGTACTCGCGAGAAGGGGAATCAACTAAAGGAGATAGACAAATGAGATGCGAGAGACAAAGGAGACAAAAAAGATGACAAATGAGATGGCAGACAAAAGAGACCCTCAACCAGCCACCTTCCATTTTGTCCAGCAGAGTAGAGAGACAAGCAAATCCGAGAATGCTGTCATGAGATGGGATATGATAAATGCAACAGCACAAGCAGGAAACAATGCGGATGGGATATCCTGGAGCGTAGACATAGGAAAAAAGGGACCAAAAAAAAAAAAAGAAAACACCGGGAAATGAGAACATATGCTTTTTCATGTCCTGCATATGAGTTAAGTCGACGAGTCGAAATGAAACCAAAACTGTCCAGGGAGAATCATTTGCTCGGTGCTCGCACCGGCAAAGACCTGCAAACGGTGCAATAATTATTCCCCGTAGACCCTGCTACAGGAGATTCAAGTGTAATTATACAATACAAAGAGGAACTCCAGCCTCCGATTGGTATCAGTATCAGTATCAGGTTGGTGATGGGATTGAGAGCAGTGTCAAAATCAGCCGTTGACCATGTCATCCAAGGCCATCTTGCGCCGTTTAATAGGTCGGCTGTCGTGACCTTCAGCTTCGGTGCTGAGTGGCTCAGTTCTCGTCATGGAAGGTGAGTTGCCCGATGGCATCTGGATTGGGGATGGCAATTCCACTGGTCCAAGGTGGCGGGGGATGGGATCCATGGTTGCGCTTGTTATGGAGGAGGAGCGTTGGTGGGGAAGGGAGTAGTTGAAGGCCGGCCCTGCAGATCTGTGGAGAGGGAGAGCGCGGGGGTCGTGAAGAGATTCTTCTCGGCCTGGCAAATTCCAATTCATCGGGTACGGGTCGCTCAGGCGATGGACATGGTGGGGAGGAGGAGGAGGAGGAGGTGGTGGTGGCCCGGCTGTGGCCTGGTGAATTGGAGGGAGCCGGACTGGTGATTCAATGGTGTATGGGTCTCGAGGTGATAGTGATACTCGTGGATCATTTGTTGGGCGGATAGGATTTCCAGGCGTTTCGGTATACGGCAGAAAAGGTACACCGATTGGTGGTGGCTGATGTTGGGGAGGTGATGTTGGTGGTGGTAATGCTGGGACGCCATATGTTGGGAATCGCCGCTCCATACTACCAGATATGGTGTTGACTTTTAACACTGGATTAAACCCTGCCATTGGCATGTACGGCGAAGGTGCATGCGGATGTGTCGGTACCGAATGCGATGGCGGTCCAGATGAAGAGAATGGGCGTCGAATCATACCCCCCGGGATCGTGGGGGAGTGGTCCATAGGCCGCGTCAGAGGAAATACTGAAGCGGACCACCGATGTGGCGTCCTTACTCCCGAGCTTACATCCCCCAATCCCTGTAAATCCGTCATGGGTCGTAGTTCTCGTGAAGATGTGGCTCGATGCATAGTGGTCCGCCGCGGGGGCATAGTTGGGTGGGCCTCCGCTGGGATAGCCGGGTTATCCAAATGTGTTGTATAGGACCTGAGAGACGAATCCTCTGCTTTCAGCGGGGGCCGCCCTCGCTTTTTGTGCGTGACATCCACGCATGTTGACTTTTTTTTCATGCTCGTTAGTTGCGATTCCACGGTTTATGGGGAAGTTCTTCACACTTACGGCTTTTCCAGCAAGCACACATCTTCGACATGGACGAGCTGGGTCACATCCAAGGTGCTTTTTCTTGCAATTAACACAAGCCGATGCCACATGCGCTTTTGTACGTCGGGTTGATTTTTGTACCAGCGGGCGACTTGTGGGATGTGTTGGGTCCAGTGTTGGAAGTGGGCATGGCGGTGCTCCTGGTAGTGGAGATCCAGCATATACTGGTCCCTGTTCGTTATATCCCAACCGTGGTAGTGGCTCATTAACTGGTCCTTGCGATAGCCCCAGTGCAGACACAGCAGACCGCTCCGCCGTGACTACGGGAGAGGAATATCCCCGAGGCTTGATCTCTGCGGATGGCTCCGAGGGTTTTGCTGGAGGGGATCCCGACATAGATCGATGGGATATAGGAGCCCGGGGGCTACACCCTCGAGCATTGGGGGACCAAGATCGATCCAACGGCAGCCGCTCTGGGCCCTTGAATCGGGAGTTTCCGAACTGGGAGATAGTGAGGCTCGGGGGGTGAAGCACGAGTGATTGCATCGGGTGTCGGGCAGGAAAGGGAAAAGGCCCACGGGGCAAATGCTTCTTTTGGGTTTTTTTTCTTTTCTTTTCTTTTGGCTCCTTTGCTTTTTTTTTCCCACCTCTTTTTTTTTGCTTTCTTCCCTGGTAGATCTTTGTTCAAATTCACAGGTAGGGACCGCTGAATTTCGCGGTACTTTGGAGCAGCATGTCTGAGTAGGAGTGTACCTAGACGAAAAAAACGAAAGCGCGGTGTAAGAATAGAAAAGAACCAGAGTCACCAAAAGGTGCAATGCCGAGGACGCAAGCTTATAATCAATATGGTGGAGAGATCCGCTATTGGAGGAGTCAGAAAATAGACTGGGAGATTTCTAGATGACAGCAGGGCACAGGGTTACTCATACGCATGTCTTCCCAGGGCAACTTATTGCAGGATGGCGGTCGATCATTGAGCTAGGATCAAGGTGCAGGGAAATGTCAAAGCCCCCCCCACGCCTTACCTCTTGATCACACGTCCCACGTTCCGTGTGGTTAAAAGGGGAGAAAACGGTGAAGTATACCGGAAAGTGGTGAAATGTCGCCCAAAGTAGAGAAAATCAATAAAAAGTACACCCCCACTTGATCTTAAGGCGTTCGATAGTCTTAAATTTGATCACATAGGAAAGAGTATTGGTCAATGCAGACGCTAGTAACTGATAGACTTGATCTCCGTCATGGTAGATCATTGGAGAATTAATGCATTTTAACGGTTGCCCCTCCTCTTAGACTTCTTTTGAGAATTGAAAAGGAGAATATACAGAATGTAGAATATAGAATACAGAATACAGAACACCTCCTCACCCTCTATTACCCCCCTCTTCTCGCCCCCCCTCCTCCCCTCCTCTCCTATCTGGGACTTTGGTCTTAAACAGAGCGCTGTCAGTGATACCCCCCACAGGGCGGGTAGAAAGGAAAGGGATTGGATTCCACTAGAGAAAGGAGACTCTTCTTTTTTTTCCCTTTCTTTTCTTTCCTTTTTTTTCCCCATTTTTCCCGGAGAGGGGTGGCAGTGTATACCAATCAGGACCAAGCAAGGTGGAAGATTGACGGATCGACGTCGGTGCCCGCAGCCATTGCCAATAGTCGACCTCGGCGTGGACTGCATTCCGAGTACGGGAGTACATGTACTCCGTATTTTTTTTTTTTGCACATTTAATTATCTAGATTCAATATATTTATATTTATATATGTGTATATATAATATATATAAGACAGTACCTGGGTAAGATAGTAACCTAAAT